TACCTGCCTGTTTTGCTCATTGATGACTTTCTCTGCAGCTTCGACAGTGTTGCACCTCATATATTTTACTTTCCATTTAAGGTGTAGCGTTCTGGGGTAAGCCAGTGCGTACCTGATATTAAACTTGTGTACTTTGCGCTTCAATGGCGTGAATGCCTTCCTCTTGTACGCCAGCTCTCTAGACATGTCTGGAAATAAATAAAGGCAACATTTTCCCCGCTTTTCCTCAGCTGCATTTATCACCTTACCCCTTGCAGATCGCCTCAGAAAACGGATCTGCACTGGCCTTGAGTTTGATCTTCATTTGGCATCAGTGCCAGTTGCCTGTGCACACAAAGGACTGGAAGAGACGGGTTTGATTTGTGTGCTTTATTAGCGCGTGTGGCTAATTCTGTTTTTTGCATCTAGGTGATACTGGAACAACCTTCATAAGACATTTTCTGTTTTGTCTCCACCGTTGTGGCTCCACTGTCTAGTACTGCTATGGTGTTTGGCTGTAGCCGCAGCAGTGGTACTTATTTTTGCTGTGTGTCAATGTGTATGGGTACATTTTTCTTTTTCTTTTTAGTTGCTGGTGTTGGCACCCCCTCATCTTGTCTAGCTGTGTCCTGGGGAAGTTGGGTTATTCCACCAAGTGTTTTTGTATGTGTGTCTGATGTATGCGCCACGTGATTTAAGTTTTTATTTTATTTTGTTTGGGGATCCTATTCTCGCACTGGTTCCCGTGATCCACTACACCCCGCCTACCTTTATTTTCTAACTGATCTCATGGTGAGGCAAACTGTACCTTGTTTGTTTTTTGTGATTTTCTGGGTGGAATTCCCAGGGTGGAGTTATCGATTCTTATTATTCTTGTTTGGGTAATGAACATCCTTTGTTACATCTGATGTTTCAGCTACTACCCCCTGGGAGAAGATTCAGGGTCCCCAGATCCAGTTACAGACCCGTTACAAAAACTCAGTCCTGCGAACAGCCATCAAACTGCTTAGCAACCAACAACTGTCAGTGCAATAAGCTGCATGGAATAATATTTCATACCTGTGCAATACAATGGGAATGTCTTCCCCATACATTTCTATGTAGATATTTCCCACAAATTTATCCTGCGACTGTGAAGTATTTTCCTGCTGCACCTTCCTGTAAATTTCATCTACGGTACTATAATTTAGCTGTTTCATCTTCCTGCTAATGTGTTAACTGCAGCTAGATGGAGTCCCAAAAAAAATACCCCTACTTATCTTACCTAACCCAACATTCTACCCAGCTCCTGATGCAATCTATGGTCTATTGTAACGCACTTCTGACTGGTGTCCTAGCCTTAACTTTAAAACCCCTGCAAATGATCCAGAACATGGTGGTGCTTCTGATCTTAAATTGGCCCAAAAAGTCCCATCTCACCCCTCTGCTCATTTAGCTTTACCGGCTACCCCTGGCCACCCACATCAAATTCAAGTCACTGATATTAGTCTACAAAGTGCTGGCAAAGACTCATGTCACAACTCAGTCACTCCGGTCTCCAATGTTTGTCAGTAAAACAATGCATAAAACAATCCAGACTCTTTTCATGGATCCTTACACGATGGTAGAATTACCTACCAAGAACAGGCCCCCCCATTCATCTTCAAGAACCTCTTGAAGACCCAGCTCTTCAGAGAGCATCTCCTACACTATCTCTTACCCTGTACCTCCCCACCTCTTTCTGTAATTCACTTTATTTCTTCAGTGTCACCGCTGTTGCCTCCAACAGAGTCTGACCTGTGATTTTCTTATAGTTTATAGTCTGGTTGATTCTGACTGTAGTGTTGTACCTGCATTGTAAGTCACGTTGGATAGAATCATTTACTAAATGCAGAAAGCTGAACAGACACGACATGGGCTTAACTCTCAGAATGGCAGGATTCTAGACTGTTTTGTTTGGGTTTTCAGTTTTAGTTGGGGCTGAGCAGGTTAGGTGCTGGCCTTCTATGGATCAGGTGGAGCAACAGACTGTAAGACCGTCTCTCGATTTCTGTGGTAATCCAGCTATGTTGGATGTAGTTCCCTGCAAAAGCTTACCTTGCTTCCTCTGTGTTCCAGTCATTCTCCACATCTTGTTCCTTGATCTTGAACTACCAGTTGGATCTGCAAATAGCAGTGGGAACTCTCTCCTCACAGAGACACTACGGAGTGGATCACCTGTGATCGCATATCTGATAAACCACTTTCATTTGTTTAACAAAGTTTTCTTTTTACCCTTTGCTAAATCTACTTTTGGGTTTACCCTCGTCTATATTGGCTACACATAGCCATGACAGAAACGTCAAGTGGAATGTGTTTTACGCATGATGATGCATACAAAATAGTATGACGGTATTGTTAAGGAAATTATCTGCTGCCAAAATGGTAGAATAAACATAACTTTCACTGATTGTTTTGATAACCATCAGAGAACAAAAAATAAAGAGCCTGCAACAAGTAGCACAGCTCGGCGGACTTGTGCAAGACTTATTTTTTAGCAAGGACTCTGTACGACCTCTGGACAAGTTGAACTCCCTGATGAGGGATGGATGCTTGATGTTTGACCGAAGAATCTAGGGGAAATACTTGGTACCAGGACATTTCGAGCTAACCACAGCCATGGTGACAGACATTTAGGATGTAGCTGATAATGTAGACACGGTGAAAACCCAGGTTTTTTATCAGGGAGCTTGTGTTTAACAGTGGTGGCACTGTTAACACCTTCAATCTAATAAGGTACAATGACCAGGGAGCTAGCTTCCAGACCTGTGAAGAAACAGTCTGATGCCATGAAGCCTGGAAACATACTGAATTAGTAAATATGTAGTTTCAGGAAAGGGAGGTCATTTTTCTAAGACAAAAAAGTGAGCAGCTTTGGAGGAATCGTTGATCAAAGAAAGAACAGTGGTTTTACCATGCAAGGGGATAAGTTAATGAGGACGTACAAGGGTCAGCTTGAGACCTCTAAAGGCCGTAACAGACCAAAGGGGGGCTGGCAACTGCTACTATTCATTGAGCAGACTGAACAGTCTAGATCATATTTTCATACCTCAATGTTTAATTGTGGATGCCATAAACAAAATTTAAGGAAAGAGATTGTTCAATGGATACCTGTGAATGAGGTCGGTGATAGCTAAGTGAGCCCAGTACAGGTCAGTTGAGTGGGCAGCGCAGGGAACAAAACAACAATTTAGTTCATATCCAAGCTTAACTTAATGTGTGAGATGTGGAAGACATGAAGCAGGAAGTTTAATCTTGATAGTGGAAGCGCTTATGACTGCTAATCACATTATTTTTAGACACACATTTAAGGGAACCGTCTTTGGACATTGGTTCACCAACACATTTTGGGGTTGGGGTAAGAAGGGTGTCAGCCTGGATATTTCCAAAGGGGTTTATGACCGAGTGCTACCTCAAAATGAAGAATTCTAGCTTTTTAACACTTAACTCATCCTACAATTTCCAAAAAGTTGAATATATAAAAGCTATGGTAATTCAGGACATTTACTCCGTGTATTTTGGTGTTTATATCTTTTAAAATTGTTTACATGTTTCATGATTTTAGTCTTTCCAAACTCTTCAGTACACTTTCAGCTAGATAAACCACTCAAAGTTTGAACTGGTCTCAAGACAAATTTTCTACGAACTCCTTGGTTCTTTAAAATATTCTTAAATTTTTTTCAAATATCAAAGTTTTAAAATGTAGGAAACGTGTCCCCTTGAGCTTTAATTTTGAAACTAGAGCCTTCTCAATCAGAGGAACACATTTCAAATATCCAATAGAAAGCAATGCAAACAAGGAGAATACCAAAGCCTGAAAAGACTGCTCTGTTACACTTAATCAGATTGGAGTCAGTTTTCCCAAGTTGAGAGATTTAACCCATTTCTCAGCCGGACATACAGAATGCTCATAGCAGTAAAACTGAAGGCGCTGCATGTAAACATACACAAATGAATGAGAGATGTTTACTGTACTGTAGGTTTACGCTTGTTAAAGTGTTCAACTCCGGTTTAATTGAATTTAAATAATGAATGCAGTGTCAATTTATCACCTTCAGCTCTTTTCTGCTCACTTCTCCTCCTGAGTCATTTATTCTTTTTTCCTTAACATCTGTGTTTAGTCTTCAGCTTATTTTTTGGTTGTTAGTTCTTCAAATCCCTCTACTTCTTTGTGTTTTTTTTTATACCTTCTACTATTGCTCTCTTTATCTTTTTCTTCATCTTCAAATAGTTTAACTGCTGTCCACTGTGTTAACTTTCAGATGAGTTCCTGTAACATTTGTTTCTCATTTTTCAAATGTCTTCAACTTTGTTGTGCATCACATGCTGCACTCAATCAACAGTTGAGGCTTTTCCCAGCTGTCCCAAAAACAGCTATTTCTACTTTTAATAATCTTTTAATAATTTTAATTTATTTTGAAAAGAGGATATGATATAAATTAACCAACATAACAGGCCGGGTGTAAGCGTCCACAAGCTAGCAAAGAGGCTTGTTTGATTAGCAGTCTGAAGTGTCAACACCAGCAAAAATCGGGAACATTTTTTCTATACTTGTTCAAAATGTACACAATGAACAGTTCAAGAAACTTAGGTAGTGTTGACATTTCCTTACTGTTATGTTTCAGTATAAAAACTTTCAATGAAAGGTTCCTATCTCAACAGAAAAGTTGGATTAAATAATTATTTCAAAGCGTGAAGTAAACGAAATTTAGCCCAGATGTGTGGCTTCTGACAACTGAATATGGAACTCAGTTATTTCAGACCTTATTAGCCCCACTGCACCATTAACTCAGCTCAACATTTAAATCATCAGTCAATACTCAAACTGAAAAAAAGAGAGAGAGAACTATTTCTTCTGTCAATAAATGACTACCGAACTGAGGAAATAAAGAGTGAAACAAAGCAACACTGAAGCGACGGTCGCCCTGACCGGCTGTTAAAGTGACACCGTGGAACCTGGAGGAGAAATGGTGAATGAAATCCTAAAGCCGGCCCGCAGCAAGTCAGCTGGGGGAGTTTCCTCTCAGTCCCAATGGAACCAATCGAGGCATGGGTTTCCAGGCAACATCCCCGCTGCCCCGCCCACCTCCTGCCCCCCCCGAGGCTGGTCCTTCGGTGCTGGTAAGGCCGGCCACTTTGCCTCCGCCAACCTTCATGTGCAGCAAAGGGGGTGGGGCCAGGCCACCATCTTTAGCGTGGTCAGTGGCTGGTCCGGGCTGCCCACTGCCCTGCCTGGTGTCCGTGTGGCCGTTGAGGCCCGCAACCTCAGAGTCCTTAGAGGCTTGGGTCTGGTTGGGTAGTGACTGTGTCCCTGTTGTGGTCTCCATGCAAATCGTCTGCTGGCTGAGCAAGGAAATCTCGTTGAGGAGGGATGACAGACCCCCGCCGTCGGGGTCTGGCCTGGGGTCCAGTCCTGGAGGCTCCCCGGGCTGTAGGTCTGAGAGACGGTCAGGGCTGGGTCCAGGACTCTGCGAGGAAACAAGTCTGACTGTCTGAGGTGCAAGCTGGTCCCTGATCAAGTCCGATTGAGCGGGCGTAGGAGGAGTTGCTGGGAGCAGCTGATGGTGGAGTGGTGGTGTGTGCTGCTGCCCTGGTGCCGGCTCAACCAGATGAAGCAGGCTGGTGGAGTCTGTGGCTGTGAAGAAACACAGTAATGAGACAAGTCGGACCACTATGTGGAGTGAGATCTGTGGGTTCATCGTTGAAAGTAAGCTAGAGGGTTTAGCAAATCAATGGGTCTGCTCCCTTTGCTGCTGGCAAGAGAGGAGCAGATGTCTTACACGTTTTGCTGGCTTGAGTTTTGATTATTAAAACAAAGAGGTTGTGTCACACCGTGAAAATTTCAGCTGTCATTATTCACAGACAACCAGAACAAATATATACCTGAAATTGCTGCTGGGTCTGAGCTGGGCAGGATGCGGTCCTTAAACCTACAGTTGAGGACCTTCTCTAAACACACATTAAGTCAGGGAGTTGTTCCCTGTTACCGTTAGTACTGACCGCCCTACTGAGTTGAGGCCATACTAAGACAGAGCTACGCAGAGAAATATCCATCATTTACCTGGCAGGTTACCAGCCGAGAGTTTGGGAACTGGAGCCAGAAGAATTCTCCCAGTTGTTAGAATGGGGACCTTCAAGGTGACCGGATCTACAATGTGCATGGAGAGAAGGTCAGTGCTCGGGATTTTAGAGCAGAGCGGAGCATGGATCTTGAATCATTCAGTACCTGGTGCAGCCACCCCTTGCAGCACTTTTGTTCTCAGCATCCCAGGGGTCACGCTCAGCAGCTGCTGTTTTGGTAACGTTTTCCGAACAAAAGACAGGACCTCAGCGGGAACCAGAGCCTTAAACGGTAGAGCTTTTCCTGGAACAACATAATTCAGAAATGTATTACTTGGTTTATCTCACTGTCTCAATATGAAAACTACAATGCAAACAATTCACACGTCATGTCCAGTAAAATCATCACTTTGACGATTTCTTACACAGCACAGATTTTGCTGGACAACAGGCGTCCCGGCACCATCACTAAAACTTTCATCCATCATTTTCACAGAAATGTACTCGGCATCCCGCTACTGTTCTTAGATAACTCACAAATGCTAAACACAAGCAGAACAGTGTGACAACGCAGCATGGTGGAATCGCACTACTCACCTCACCACAGCCCATTTTAGGTGGTTTTCCATTTCAATATCAGAAATATGGGCTGATTAGTAGTAGAGGCAACATTGAAGAACGTGGCAGTGCTGATATACCTGAACCTCGGTTTTGGTTAGTCAATTAGGCATGTGCAATATTGATGATCAAAGAGATAATGAAGTTGGACGTTTGCTGTTGCTGCTTTTCAGAAGTAGGAGGGATTAATGTGACACAGATGTTATCAAGTCAGATGTCTCCCTGGGCAATCAGTGGCCTCTCAGTGGTTTTCATCCACTTTGATATGTCTGACAGACAGTCTGAGATATGTGCTGAAACCGTGCGGTCATCAGGTGGAAATGACAGATAGAGCTCGGTGGCGTCTGCATAGGATGAGAGGCCATGTGATTGGATGATTTGACTCAGTGAGATGGTGTTATGGCAAAGAGGAGGTCAGAGTACTGAACCTTGGGGGACCCCTGTGAGCGACCAAGCCGGGATACTTTGAATGATCGACCAAGTGAGGTACCATTCAAACCGGGAGTGTGCTCTCCCTGTGATGCCCATGCTCGAGAGTATAGACAGAAGGATGTCATGGTTGACTGTCAAATGCAGCCCACAAGTAGAGGAGAGGCATTCTGTGACCTACTTAAAGACGGCCCTTTCAATGGTCTGATACAGAAAATGGAGGAGAAAGACCGGCTGATAGTTCTCCACCTGAGTCGGTAGGAGAGAGGGTTTCTTGAGCAGCGGTTGAACCCCAGATTACTTGTATAAGGTAGGAAATGTGTGCATCTAGTAGGATGGCTACATGCGAGAAGTTTAGACAGAGCAATTTCAGGGAGAGGGAGTAGTTCATTATCTTAATTAATGATTGAGGGGGAATGGGTTTCTAGTCAGCGTGTTGGATACACTCAGTTATTTACCTCAAACTGTGAGTCAGTAAGATGGATGGCAGCTCTGGTACCCAGGTTTATGAGCTCATTTGCTTTGTTTGGTCTTACCTTCTGAAACTGAAGTTGTGTTGACAGAGGATGATGATGCAGGATTCCTACTGCGGGACAGGATGTTAGGGACAGTCTTAGGCCGCATCCTATGTTCGGGAGCAATCAGTGACACGTTGCGATGGACCTGGATAGGCACACTCTGAGTGTGAGGCAGTATCTGGACAGTAGGACTGGGCGCAGTCTGCAGTCCTGGCTGTGCGTGGGATGAGGTGATTATCTTTTTCTCCTTGGTGTCTATAGTAGAGGGGATAATGACAGCCCCTCCCACTGTATGCGTCTCCATCTCCTGACTTGATGAAAAGTCCAGGAAAGTTTTCCCTCCTTTACCTGCAGCCACAAGCATAATAACAGATCAAAACTCCACTGGCTTAGAGCCTAGGAACACCATGAAAGAATGGTATGTTTTGTGTCAAAGTGCATCATCATTCACTTTATTTTGCATGTGGTTAGTGGGGCTTTCCTCAGGGATCATGCACGTGCAATATGACAACCCACAATTGAAAAGGTTTATATCAAAGTATAAATGTAGAATAAGTTTGAGACACAAAACAGGTTATCAATTAGCTGCTAACATTCCTGGCACTACCAGTGTGATGTTACATGTTTCGTGCGTATGCAGAGTGTTTTAGTACCGGCTGCTGATTGTGTGAAGCTTAGTTCAATTTTACTATAGCCTATTTTGGGTCATATGGCTGGTCTTAGGTGATACTGCTATCTTTGATCGGTAACTAGCATAGTAAGAGGCTTCAGATGAGCCTCTGCTGAATCTTTGATATCTGCCTGAGTTGAGCCTTGTAGAAACTTTGTTTTTTCACAAGAGAGTGGAAAGGCACTGTAAGAAAGCCAATTGATGTAAACAAACAAGTAAAAACATTGAACTTTTGTATAGTGCCCAGTACACCTGTTTAGCTACCTGCCACTACATGGAGTTACACATGCAGGGGGGAAGAGCAACCAGCAACTACACACTGAAAACAGTACAACTGCAGATCTGGAGGAAGAGCAGCCGCCCTACAATCAGAAGGTTGGGGGTTTGACTCTGTGTTCCCCAGTGCCACATAATAAAGAGGCCTTGGGGCCGCTTTTAGCGGTCAGTTAGACTATAAAAGTTCTATATAAGAACAGTCAATTTACCCGGTAGACCCATCCTCAGACTCTCCAGGTCCCTCTGATGTGTGTGGGTTTCATGGGGAGCCTAGAAAAAAACAGGAAATTTGTTTGTTAATTGGTCTAATTTCTTGTCATCAGCATGTGTTTTGCTCAACATCTAGCAGCAAGATAGTGTCTGAGTAGCACTGCCCAATGACTAATATTTGTCTCAATAGTTAATTCTATTGTTTGTACAAATAGAATACAGTACTTCCTTGTCGATTACGGGGTTATGTTTCATATCCTTTTATCCATTTTATTATTTGAATGTGTCCATAGCTCTTTAAACCTTCCCCACACTTTGCTGGTTCACTTCCATCAACACAGAAATAATTAATATGATATATAAAAACACCTATAACTAAAAATTTGCAAACCAGTGAGATTGTGAAAACAGAACTCCAAAATGGCAAGACTGTAAACGTATAAAAAGAAATCTCCTCAGTGTGGTCTATCTCTTGTTTTGGGGTGGTTTTAGGGCAGTTTAACTATAGCTGTGGACACATCTTTAAATGGGTGTTTCTTGGTGTTCGAGTTAGTACGCACCTGATCCAGAAGCAGTACCTTTGGAGAGTTTGATGTATTTGTGGCTGAACTGAGAGCTCCAATCTCATCCTTCACACTGCAAACAAAGACAAGCATGACACTGCGCTTCAACACCTTTACACACAACAGTCTTTGCTCTAACCTGAGGCGGTTAGATCAGTTGTTGATCAGGTGAGTGAACTGATTATTAATTCGGTGAACTGATTGAAGGCTTCACGACTCACTCTGAACTCCTCCTCATCCTCTGCAGCCTCGGAGCCTGGCCCGCACCAGTTGACCCGCTAGCTGTGGCCGCATCCTGTAAAGACACACAGTAACTTCTGTTCAGCCAGTAACACACAGCCAAGCAACCACTAATAAAACCCGGGAAAAGTGACCACTTCTGCGAAAGCTTGTCTTGTAATGGAAGAAACAACTAGGCATGTCTTTTTCTTTTACCATCACATACATCTGTACACCACACTGGCCTGCTCTAGGCTGTTTAAATCTATGAAACTTCTGGTTTCAATTTATATTTCATTTTAGGGTGTTTGATTATGTTTATTGCCTTTTAATTGGCTTTGAAATGTTTGAAAGTAAATGCTGTGCTTGGTACTCATTCAAACAGTAGTTGAACAATTGAATTTGTGTGAACTAAATTTGTAAATGTTAAAAGCCAGGATTGCAACTGCTTAGGATCTCACAAAGCAATAAGGGCCAGATGGGACATGTAATCCCTCCATCTGGTTCTGGGTCTACCCTAGGGTCTTCTTCCAGTACCAGACCAGATCAGTCCAGTGTCTCTGCTCTGACTTCCTGTCACTCAGAGAATAGACTTTAAAACAGCTCTGCTTGTGTACAAGTCTCTTCATGGTCTAAAGTACATCATTAGCATTTTATAGCCGTATGAAGCAGTTGGGACTCTGAAAACCTCAGGTAGTGGTCTACTGCTGGGGCCCAGAGTCAGAACTCAACAGGAGAGGCTTTGTTTCAGTTTTATGACAAAAAATCTGGAACAGTCATCCTGAAGAAATAAGACAGGCCTCAGCTGTTTAAATCCAGGCTGAAACAGTTTTATTTAGCTGTGCACATGAAAACTGAAAGCATTTTACCTGGACTGTGATTTGTATTTGTTTTAATTCCGTTTAACATATACTTAATTTCTGAATTTAAACTTATACTTTTAATACATTTTTCTATTTTTTTATGCCTTGCCTAGATGACTGAACTCACTAAATGGAATCCTTTTGATACTGAGAAGAAGCAGCCAGAAGCAGCTTCTTCTGGATGATCGAGCTGCACATATCTACAGCTGAGCCCAGTCAAGCCTACTTATTCCTGAGGAAGACCCTTTTCAGCTGCTTTATTTATGATATTGTTCTTTGGGTGGTGACACCATATCTCTTCACCAAATGTAAGGGTTGGAAGAAATTTGGACATGCAAATTGGGAGCTTTGTCTTCTTGCTAAGCTACTTCACGATGACAGACTGGAGCAACGCCCTGGTTACTGCTAACGAAGACCCAAACCGACTCCTGCTCCGACCTGCTATCACTTATGAACAAGATACCCAGATACTAAAAGTCCTCCACCCGGGGCAGGGACTCATCTCCCAGCCGGAGAGAGAACTCCACTGTTTTCATGTTGAGAACCATAGTCACAGATTTGGAAGAGCTGACTTTAATTCCAACTGCTTCACACTCAGCTGCGAACCGCTCCAGTGCAAGTTGGAAACTGTGACCGTAACCAAATTGTACTCTTATAACCCTTTTCCATTGGTATCCACATGATTTTTAGAGTTTTTCATGAGGTAGCAGCTCCTAGTAACAGATACATTTTAGTTCCTGACCGGGGCTTAAAGCGAGTTGAGTCGAGCTGAAGATGTGATGTCTACAAACTTGCAGGTCACTGATTTGCTGGAGAATCCCATGGTCGGGTAAGTCATAAAACCAGGGGGCAGCAACTTTGTTATTAAATTTTTTCTGTGACCAACAAGAGGAGCACCTGGTATATAATATCTCCTCCATGTCCTCAGTAGCGGGTCAGGTTTGTGTCGCATACAAATGATCTCAGCCCACCGTGCAGTAACAACGTCACACACATTGAAGTGGCACTTGCTCATAATGGAAAATATCTTAAACCCAGTTTGGTTCAGTAGAGCTGAGCAGGTAATCATTGAAAAGGTCCATGACTACATTTTATTCTTATCATTTTTTAATACCTGTATAATTAAACATCCTTGTTTAAGACAATGAACCCAACACTGTTGAGTTCATCCGTGTGTGTACGTAGTAAAACTCTGTGCAGGATCTGTTGTGCTGGAGTGTTTATGTGAATGAGCAATTCCTTTTGAAGTCCTTTGAAGAAGCACTTCAAAGCACTGAGGGTTGATAAACATGCAGTCTGCTAAAATCTCCATTAATTAATCTCTTACGTTCGTTTTGGTTGACCAGGTGGATTCTGCAGTGCTCTTTTCCTTAGACGACACCCGGCTGACCTTCTCCCCCTTGCCTGATAGATTAACCACCTCCGTCACATCGCCATTGGCCTGATATTCTGTCAGAGAGCAAAACCAGGGTCAGCAGCTGAATGCAGTAAAGGAAAACTCTGCCAGACACCCCGATGTTAGCAGGACGATTTGGATGTCACTGCCGCATAATCCAACACAGAACCAGCTAAGTTTTCCACACAACTGTACTGGACACTGAGCTGGTTAAACAGCAACAACAAAGAATTTCATAGATGCGTTTGACATTTTAAGTTCAAACAGCACTTCATCGCCTATCAAAGGCGTTTAGACAGGCAAGAGAAGATTGTTTTAAAGAGTTTATTTGCAAACAGCGACTCTAAGGAACCATCTGGAAAGTGTGATTGGGGTGATAGGGGGTCACGTAAAACACTCAGCTTGTCATAGACGTTTGAGAACCTGTTTTATTTTTTTTGTTCAGACCTGTTGACGGAACGAGCATCGACATGTATTCATCCCTCTTCTTTCTTAGCTCCCTGCTGTTCCTCTTCAGGTGCCTCTCAGTCCGACTTAGCTCACGGATGGTCTTCACTGCCTGCAACAGAACACAGCTCTTGTTTGTCTTCACTACACAAACCACTGTGGCAGAGGCGTTGTGTACTGACCCTCCTCAGTATGCATATCTTGGGTATCCTCTCTCCGGTCTGCACCACCTCCCCCATCAGCACGTCGAACTTCTGCTGCAGCTGCACGCGGCGATTCCTCTCGTACATGTTGTGAAGCTGCAAACACACAGAGAGCTGTAAACAGCAACAGGTCTTTACACTTTGTTTGTTTCCCGCGAATCTGAGTTTTAACAATTGAAGTAGAACCGTTGCTTTTCCCTAACAGGAGGATCTCAGCTACTGCTGCTGTCTGTTAAGCTACTGTAACACAGCTTAAGTGGCTCGTCCTCCACTTCACACCATCAGCAGTGACCCTGACAATTCCGTACTACACCAGATAACACTTTTCAAAGAGCCTCATGTTCATCTTAAAAAGCTGCGTTGCCATTCAATAGCTAACTTCCAGAGCTATCAACCTGTCTCAAACTGTTACATCCCTGTTGAGGCTGGTCTGATCAAGTTCAGATTTGAAACTTTAGCTTCTACTAAAGAATAAAAAAAATGATCAAAACAGACTGGGTAAGAGGAGGATGAAGAAGACAGATCTTACATTTCTTTTTGTTGTTGGCGGATTCTCTTCGTCATCTGATTCTCTGAAGTCTGATGAGTCTTCAGTCTCACTGCTGGACATCAGGTCCGACATTTCATTTGTTTGAGTCTCTGTGGCAACGTGCATGTTCTCTTCCTCCACGCAGATGATGTCCAGGTCAACTGCGTCACGGGCCAGCCCCTGGTCAGTGCTGAGCATATTAGAAGGGAGAGTGGATGCTTGAGGTGGGAGCCTCTTGGGACTGGGCGTCTCCACAGTCAGCGAGGAGGTGGGATGAATTTGTGGTGAAGCAGGTTTATGATGGAACGCCATCCGCTCAGGACCCCGTGACGCTGTTGCACTGTCAACCCCCAGCTCAGCCCCCTGATTCATGGGAGGTTTGAGTGGGATGAGGGTCCCACAGGCTGTTGGAGAGGTCAGGGTGAGTGGAGGGATACCTGGAGCCATCTTCACCTCAGTGGCAGACAGGCTGCTGACACAGACGGAGCCAGTGATGGTGTGTGCAGGGGGGACTCTAAGGTTGTGTGTTCTCTTCCTGACAACAATTCTTTTGTCAAGGGGGGCAGGTAGGGGGGGCGCAGAGAGGGGAGAGGATGACGATGAACAAGCAGAGGTGATGAGAGGTGGCTGCATTCCACATGCAGCAGAGATGGCTGGTTTCTGGAAGCCTGAGACAGACGGTACTAAGGAGGAGGGGGGGTCTAGAAAGGAAACAGAAAGGGAAAAGGAGTCAAATGCTAGTGAAAAAAAATATCCAAACACAAGAAAGTTGTCGCCACAGGCCACTTAGATTCCAACTATGAACCACCATTCATCCTCTGCATTTGCAGCTCCAGCAACTTAATATCTTCTTAATCTATGGTTTTACTTTGTCTTTCAACCATCGGTTTGAAACCTATAACCTCTGATGTGGACACTCACCCCTCTTACTGGATGGCTTGATGGGTGCCAGCTGGTTAAAGGGAATGAATGGGACCAATTTTACATCAGGTTTCCGATAATGCTGCATTAGGTGGTCACCAGATGGTGACGGAACGAGCTGCAGGACGATCTTCTGATTGGTGGAGGGTGGAGTAGGCCCATGAGGTGTGGGATGTGAGAGAGCAAGTCCTTTATGAGGGCCCTGGACCTGAATCTTTAACACCTGAGAGTCCACCGGCTGACCCACAGAGCTGCTGGACTGAGAGTCTGAACACAGGAAACAAGGTACACTTAAAGATCTAGTTAAAGAAGCGTAGTGTATCAGGCATTTCTCAAAATCAGTTGATAGAAAACACACGTCTTTATTAAATAATGGAATTATTTGCAACACTGGTTGGTTCTGTAAAATCAGCATGTTTGCCCACCTGTGAGTGAGGGGCTCAGTTTGACTGAAGTGACAGGGAGCTCTGGTGTGACTGGAGTTGCGGTGACGTTGGTGGTGATGGCACCAGAGCTAGTGAGCGCAGAAGGAGCTGAGGGGGTAGTCTGGGGGGTCTGAGCAGGTTTGCAGGATGAAACCTCTTGCTGCCTGCTGGGCCCAACCCGGCCAGTCAGATAAGCTGCCAGACGGTTTGCAGGGTGGAGCGCCCCCATCCTCCCCAACTGGATTTTTGCCAGAGGATATAACTTCCCATTGACCTACAGCATGACAAAAGGGACATCAGTCACACTGCAAAACAAATGTTACTAAATGAGACCTCTAAAGTGACTCGCAGTTTTGCGATGCAGCTTCTCTGGTATGTCTTGATGATATTGCGTTCTGCTGATGATGAAATATTCCTAGTTATAGAACCTTGCTCCATAGTTACATCTTAGAGTCTCCGCTCTTTCACCTATCACTTCTCATCATACTGTAGATGCTGCTGCTGTTCACTCTTGTAAGTCACCCATGCCAACCAGAGATGGATGGGCCTTGTATCCTTAAACAATGACATTACTAGGGTTAAGCGGTGTGTTTCACAGCTTGATGAGTGGAAGCACACGTTGTTGTTCTGTTATTGTATGGTTATTTCTTTAGTCAGCTGCTTTTATCGGCGGTGATAATAATAAATGAGAAAACAACTACTAAGCTTCAGTGCTGTACGAGCTCTTGATCAGAAAAGTGAGTTCCAATTACAAGAGCAACAAGAGCAGACATGTTATGAAGAAAAAGACTTGGTGTTTTAGTCTTTTAGAAGCCATAGTAGAAGAGATTATTTTTTAGATTTAAAAAAAAGAGAGAGAGCCACACAGCATCTGGCAGCTTCCTCAGGAACCGTCTACACCAACACTGCCTTCTCTGTAGAGATTCAAAAAGTCCAATCTTGTTGCAATGAGAGATTGAGTAACCACTGGCAGAGTAAATTTGCATAAACTATGTTCAACCAATCCTAGGGGTAGAGTAAGACTACCAGGAGCAGATGATTTTGTTGATAGTAACAACATTTTACAGAACACCTCTACGAAAATTTTGATCTATAGAAAGGTAAATCAGGAACAGTCACCCCTCTGACAAACTATCAGAAAAAACTATTGCGAACATTGCGAGAGCGTGTCTATGAGAAAAGACCTTACCTGTATAGTGAGGTCAGATCCTCCTGGCTGTTTTCTATTGGCAGAGAGGAAGCCAGCAGGAGACACTCCCGTCAAAAAGGGTAGAGCCGTAGTGGGCTCTTTATCCTTCAACGATTTCATCTCCTCTGGACTTTTCTTTTGCCCATCATCAACCTGGTAACTAGCGCATGTTTCTTCCTCCGGCTCAATGTCACTTTCCTCCACTTCCTTCTGCCAGTCCTCTAGAGCCTCTGCCTCCTCCATCTCCTTATTCTGCGAGCCCTTCAGAGCTGCCCGCTTCGATGTGTTCTTAGGGGGCTTCTTTTTTATTGCTGCCTGTTGCAAGTTGTTCCTCTGAAATACAGAGCACAGACTATAAGATTGATTCAACATTTTTACAAGGATGGCAAATTAACACCCCTTTTACCTTCATCCTAAAATAATGAGTGAAAATCAGGTGAGTTGTCCATCAGAAAATTTAAAAAGTCAGTAAGCTGTAGTGATTGTGTCTGAGACATGAGATGAACAGTATAAATTATAAATAGGATCTAAAATTGTATTAAAATTCTAACATATATTGGTCGTAGACAGCTATAGACAGACCTGGCTGTACCTTACTTTATAGACTTCCTTATCTTACCTCTACAGACCTAAAAAAAACCTCCCAGAGGTTGAACAGTAATTAAATTCCTACCCACCTGTCTTTCTTGTGCAACTTCACCATCCGCCTGTTTTCTTGGTTTCATTAGCTTGACGTTTTTAGTATTTTTGCCCTCAAGTTTGGGTGTAGAGATGCGAATTCTATACTGGATACACTGGTCGGCACCATTCCCTTCCACCGTCTGCTCAATGGGGTTGATCAAGTATTTCCTGATCCAAAATGGCTGATCCAGTTGGTCTTGAGCCATTGCCTGGCACAGTTTCTTCAGCACATAGCTTTGGTCAGCGTCACTTTCCCATTTACAGTCAGCTAAAATGAAGAGACGCTTTGATGGCTTAGGTGTTGGCTCTTCCAGAAGATCAGGAGGGTGTTTGGAGGACAGTGGTTGAGCAGCTTTATCTACCAAAACGCAAAACAGAACAAAAAAACCTATCAGAACAAGCACGATAAGCCGGAAGTGAGGCTTACTGTGGGGTCTAAGAGAGTGGAAGGTTCTGTCAGAAACCCACCTAAATTAGGGCCAGGAGTGTTGGCCTTAGATCCTCCCAAAGTTTGATTTTTCTGTTTCAGGAATTTCAGTCGAGCAGCTTTACGTCGGGCAAGCCTCATTTCTTTTGATGCTTCCTGGAGGAAAAAGAAAGCACTTTGGGTCCAAGGATCCAGCAGGGAACAGTTCAGTTTTAATCCATAGGACCTATCTGAGCTTTAAGATCAGTTATAATTCAGGCATTTTTGTCCCATTGTCGGTTTTTAAGTTCGATTTGTTATTTTATTTTTTTAATTTTATTTTTGTCCCCTCTCAATCCTGTCTGGATACAGCCTGTTCTCTTCGGCTACACTCAAACTACAAGCCTTCATACTCGATTGTGATTTTTTTGTGAAGTCAGATTATTTCTGCATTATTGCTCACATTTTTAACTATACAGTAGGTGATTTGTATGCGATATCCTGTACGAACCGCAAATTAACCTAAAAGTATCCCGCATGTGCAACACGGGACGCAATAACATCATATATGGCGAGTGTGTTTAGAACATTTAAACCCACACTTGGCCATCTCTTGGAGAAAGAAAAAAAAGGAAATTGACCAGTTCCCATTAGACCCCTTGAGTTTGGCCTAGATAGAGCTATCCCCCAAAAACCTAATTAAGTCAGAAACCACTTTCAGGCCACTGACTGTTCGCCGCATTATCGACCAACATGGTTGTTGTTTTTCTTTGGCGTTGCAGGACACAGAGAAGTGGTCTTTGTCCAGTATCAGTGATGTGCAGAACTGATGAATATAACCAGACTGTACAGACACAGTTCACATTTGAAAAGATCGGATACACATCAGATTTAGAAGCACATATCCAAGTAGCCTGGGTTGCATTTGAGAAAATCTAATCTGTGTTGTTCACAATGTCATGAAAAGATTGGATACAGGTTGTATATGGGCAAAAATTGGGTTTAGGTCACTTCAGTGTGACCACAGCCTTTGTTTTGTCCAACTCACTATGTTAAATCTAAGCTGTGTTTTCTGTAGGGACTTTCATGTTGAAATAGGCAGATGCAGAGTTTTGTGTTCATGAGTCGTTTTTAAAATTGTACCTCTCGTTTCTTGACCCATCCTCTGTAGCCTCTGACTCTGGCACAACTGCTGTGGTTATTTCTGTCACCCTTAACACAGTGAAGAGACCACACAAAATTATTCTGTTAATATCTGCATGGTGAAACTCTGTTAGTTTGGTATCTATATGAGGATGATTCTTTACATTTGAGCTTAATGAGAGGGTCACATCAGGACTGTGGACAGGCTCTGGGTCTGACCCTCCAGTATTTCTCCTCCACAGAATCTGGACCCGCTCAGCGGGTTTGGAAACACTGTCGGACTCTTTCAGAACTACAAGTTCAGCAGGAAGAAGACAGCATGTGTATTACAAAATCACGATATTATCACTTTTTACAGAAATTTTAACAGACATTTCAACAACACTTCTTTGTCTTTATGTTCATGTTAGCTTTCCAGGGACTACAGGTATTCCAAATATCAAATTGTTTCTGACAGACAATGAAAATTTTAAGTAGGGACTTACCGTAAGCCATCCTCATTCTCTTCTTGCCCTTCTTATTCTTAATGTGGTCGGTGTGGGATGTGGAGCTTGAATCTGAACTGTCCAGGTTCTTGAGGAGCACCACCTTCTGTTTGAGGCAAGTGCAGCCAAACATGCAGCAGGGGCGGCCACAGTGGCTGATCTTTGAGGAGTAAGACAAACTGGAACAGATGCAGCCAAGCCTGCAGAACTCATTCAGACATGGAGACGCTCTGGCCCGTGCGAGCTGGATTGGTGCCGTGGGGTTGTCACTTACAAATCCCTAAAAGATTGAGGGGCAGTGTAATAGAATTCAATTAATAAGCCCCCCAACTGGACAAAGCTGGAAGAGAACATATACAACCGTAGCATCACATTACACCAAAACTCCATTCGTGGACATCCGCAGTTAATGGATTGTGGACTCTTCCAGATATTCCAGTAAGAATCTCACCTACGGAGAGATGGACTAAACCCCTTAGAAGTGAGTCGTTCCATCCAACTACTAATCGATAACCTGTCTCTGTATAACTTAAATATATATATATTAATATTATGGGGTAAATTTTCATCAAAAGTTTCATTTTAAACTTTGAATGGGACTTTTTGGGGGGGGTGGGGGGCATTTTGCTTTTTGATAGTGTGGGGAAGTTCAAGTTCATGTTTTTGTTAATCAAAATGTTCACTGTTCAACAATTAAAACTAAAGTTCTACTCAAATCTGTTGAAATGTTATGTTTTGTTAATGTTTTCTTTCTTTGATTATAAAAAAAAATTAAATTTCCGTTTTTATGTGATAGTTTAAATTCCCCCCAATTTCCAGTTAATTCCCATATATTCCAATATAAAGTTTCCCATTTGGAATATTTCCAAAATCCCCCATCTTAACTTCCCATGGCAAGTCTCCAGAATTTACTCGAAAGCAGAAAGAAAAGTGAGACGCTTGGCAGATTGATATGAAATTATTATACAACACGAGAACTGTGACAACATGTAGACTTTTTTCCAGTTTGAGCCATCCAGTCATATTCAAATCACAGAAATTGTGTGCACCATAATTCTGTCCATCAATTTAAGAGGCAAATCTGACTGATGCCAGAAGAACATCAGCGGAACATATTTGAAATGTTAATTTGGCCTGATTTAAGACTAAAGACTTATCAGCAGTTACTGGTAGGCTAGTGACAAAGCGCTAAGTGATTCTTTAATCTGGTTGCTGCCGCTCTGAACAGCACCAGCCTACTTGCGCAGTAACATAGGTGTTAGAAGCGGACTCTCACCGTCAAAGTGAATAGAGATGTCAATGCAACAGCTGCCCTCTCCTCGGTGATGCTGGTCCGGGCTCTGCCCTGCCACACAACACCATCCTCCAGGTCCTTCTGTCTCAATAGTCCTCGGGTCATAACAGGCCCGCCTCCCTTCCTGTGGTTTTCCTCACTCTGAACAGGAGTGTGACCCAGCTCAGAATCTGACTCCAGGGGAGCCAAGTCCTTCAACACACCAGACGGTCGGGCCATCGGCCGGCTAGAGTTGAGAGATTTGGTCAAAATCCTGGGTTTGAGTTTCCTTTTCTTTTTAAAGATGGGTGGAAGTGAAGGTTGAACGGTCTCACTGGAAACCTCAGTGGTCTGCGCAGACTGCTCAGATAAAACTGAACTGGATTCAGATGTATTAGTAACTCCAAGTTCGGGTCCAGGTTTGTTCTGCTTACGACCCGTTTTTTGTTTTTTATCCGTCTTCCTGAATGCTCTTGCTTCTTTAATTTGTGGTCTTTTAGATGGGGGAATAAATCCTGATATAAGGTCTGAGGCAGAGGTCTGTTTCTTTGGGATGTGGTCCCCAGTCCAGCTTGTGCTTTTCATGGGGAGCTGATAAACGGGGGCCTCAAAGGGGGACTGGGAGAAGCTGGCAGCTCGCTCATCTATCAGTTTCCCCTCATTCTCCAGATACTCATCCAGCATGTCGCTGCAGAAAGCTGACAGGTTCTTCTTCTGGGAGTCCGAACCAGAACCAGCTGCAGAGAGTAGTACAAAACAGTTAAGAACAGGGAAGTTTCAACTACTGTCCTGAGACCTCCTCCATCGCGTCACAGGATCCTAGGAGATTCTGAGACTACATGAAGGTCTGTTCATATCAGTTATGCTTGCCATTGAACACTTTGTTTCAATGGCAAGATTGAGTGAGTTAATCATAATCTTACTTTTATGTTGTAAATGACACAATACACTTGTCCTAATATCTAGCCAACGACTGCTAAACACTTCAGAGTTGAGTGATATCATAAGATTTCATTTTAGAATAGATCAAGAGGGAACACACCTTCAGGTCCACTGGATGCATGTGTAGGCGGGGGATCTGACAGAGTGAACTTCTCTCTCCACCCTTTAATCTGTGTCACATCGGTAGTTTTTCCTGTTCGTGATACAAACGCTGACGAAACACCTGGTGAGGAAATACGAAAACAATTACATTCTATGCTGGTTTTTATACAGATTTAAAATAGATTTACTGACACTAGACAAATAAAATCATATGATTTTAATCTTTTTTTATTCTAAAAATTTAGACTTAGTAACACTAAACCAGGTGAAATTTAGCACCTCTCTGGCAATTCAAACATGAAACACATTTACTGATATAGTCAATAGTAAAAATTGGGAAAGTTACCAAAGGAATTCCCTGGAGATGGTGGCAAAGTCTGAGCCAGTGGCTGTACACCAACTCCCGGTGGAGGGATGGGAAGTTGAACTCCCAGGTACTGGAGGTCGATGGAAAGACCAGGGTCCAGCAGGGTCATTTTGAGGCCAACTGAGTTCATAGAACACACAAAATGAGATAGGAGGGTTGGCTTTGTGTAAGCTACAAGGGCTTGTTAGCCTGGAGCCGCATACTTTAAGACAAACATTTGTACCTTCCTGCAACACCGGGTGGATGACCTGCCTGTACTTCATCTGCCCCAGGTCTCTTAGCAGGATCTCCTGGAAGGCAGCGATAGTTTCCTCCAGACTCCTCCCTGCTTTCAATTGAAAAGCTTTTTCATGGATTTATATTTCTCATTTGGTAAATAAAATCTGAACAATAACCTGGATAAACATCTCAAACAATGTCTCATTGATTGTCTAAACTGTCAAACCTTCAAAACAAACAAGGTCCTTTTTTGAGCTCATAACCGTAAGAAAAAAACATAAGAAAAAAAAAGAAGCAGATGGGATCAGACTAATCTTAAATTCCAACATAAACTTACTACTGTTGCTGTTTTCATTTGCATCAGGAGTTTGCTGACTTTCAGGTCTGGTTTGAGTATGACTGCTCAACCCTTCAGACGGGTCTGCAATGTGCGACTTGAGAGCTTCCTGAAACATAAGGTTGGTTGTTATGCCTTGGTTAGATGTTTTTTTTTGTTGTTGAATTGTGTTACGAAAATACCATCATCAGTAAATTGTTTTGGGTAGTTCATCCAGCAATGTTTAGTGGAAAACAAAGAAATAATATTACTGCTATAGATGAATTACAAAATGGGAGGGTATTTATTTAGCCTTTGAACAGATCATAAAACCTATTACAAACCTGAATTGTACTTGTTATAAAGTCCAGCCATAAGGCACATTAGCACTAGGGGAATCTTAGACCATTTGACAACAGATTTAATGGTGTTTTACCTTAGATGTGAATGAGATAAATAACTGCTCCTCCACTTCCTCCAAGTTAGGCTGCATATTTCTGTAGTCATCCATGGTCTGATCCATATCCAACCTTGAAGACTTTGTCCACCTAGGACACTTCTTGCGTTTGCATGGCTTACTGGGAGATATTGGCAAAACCTGCTGAGGGGGCTCACATGCTTCAGCCAAAGACGGAGGTGGACAGGGAACAGTCACTGTGTCTGTGTTTGAAAGTGCCACACCAATGCCAGTCTCAACATCGGTGTTGAAAAAGTGTGCAAAGTCAGAGAGAGACGGTGTGGGTGACAGTCCATTTTCATCTAATGACGAGAAGGTGGGAGAAAGCGTCAGCTGCAGAGCAAGGGGGGACAGCTCTGCCGGAAAAGGAAGTAAATGCTCACTCTCTTGAAATGACACCGGAGGATCATCAGGGGAAATGGCTGTGGGAGTGCTCAGGCTTTGTGGTTCCGAGTGGCATGGAAATAAAGTTGGTGTAACAGATATTAAAGGAGGAGCGTCGGGTGCAGGTTCAAGTCCTGTGAAAGCAGTGTCTCTGTCAGACTCAGATGGAGGTAATACTGTATGCCATTTGAATACGGATGAGTTTTTGTTGAGCAGTCGATCTTCAGGTGGTTCTACTGCTTCAGAAGTTGCTTCCGAAGCGGAGGTGTCAAGCTCTAAAGCTAATGAGGCTGGCAGCAGAGGTAAAGGTTCTGGAGAACTTGCGGGTGACAACGGCTCGAAGTCAAAAGAGGTACACTCCGGGTCAGGCAGTGAGGGCTCTGTCCTCAGAGTGCTGGAGTCTGATGGTAGTGTGGATGCCTCAGTTGATGTTTGTGTTGAGTTTGGGCTAGCTAATACTACTTTGACGAAAGGGGGCAGATTGGGAGCTGTGTTTGAGGTAGTACATGTTGTTAGGGTGGATGCAGATGTCTCGATGGTACAAAATGGAGGTTCTGAATTAGGTAACACTGGTGCACCATCTGGAATTGTAAGCTCAGAGCCAGAACTTTTCAGAAATGGATCACCAGCTTCTGGTGCCTCAAGATCCTCACTTGTGACAGAACCAAAACACAAAGGACTAGAGGGCTGCTGAGCTGTGTCATCCGCTTGTTCTGCAACATTTAAAACCATTCCATCTTGATGAAGATCTGTATGGGCAAATCTGCAATCTTGGATTATTGGTTCTGTAACAAAGGCATGATCAGAATTGGCAACGGTACTTCTGGATTCAGGCAAAGATTCAGATGGAGTTTCTGGGGGAGTAGCATGAAGTTTGCCATCGGTCTTTTTAGATTTTAGTGAATGCTTTTTTAAAAAAAGAGCGAGTGCTGGCAGAGGTAGGCGAGCTGGACGTTTCTGCTGCTTTGAAGCATCTGATGGAGCATCTGAAGAACACTGGTTGTCTGACGGCTCAGAAGAGTTACTAGATCCTGTTAAAGCAAGATCTGTCTCAATGCTGGCTGTACATGAATTCAAATAGGGCCTGTAATCTTCCTTCTTCTTCTTTGGTGTTTCTACGTTTATAATGTCCTTTTTTGGAACACTTTTACCTTTGCCTTCATTCAAATGTCTAGTCTTGGTATTGGTTTGTGTCACTCTGGGAGAGGGGTTGTGACTGATATCCAGCTGCTCCACGCTGCACCTCTGCAATGAAACGTGAGCCTCACGAATCAGATCAGAAAATAATTTCTGAGCTGGACCTGAATTGCTGCTGCAGGAAACCAAACACAAATATTACATTAATGGTACTGTCCTTTTTTAGTATTATTTACACAATTGATCTAAAAAATAAAGAAGACGAAAAAGCAAAACCATAAAAAAAATTCATTCCCGTTTCAGATTTTCACTGGACAGGTAAATTTAAAGCATCCATATTCTGAACTTGTTTAAACCCAATTCAGGGTTGATAAGGGGCTGGAGCATATCACAGCTGTCATTGGTCACAGGTAACCAGTCAAACACAGGACAAACAGAGACGAATGAGAGACAACCATATACGCTTAAACTCACCCCTGCAATCAAATTTAAAATCAACACCTAACAAGGATGTTTCTGCAATCCATGCATACACAGGAAGAACATACGAACACAAACAAAGGTAAAACATTTTGAACTAGGAACCGCTTTGCTGCCTGGTAAGGGTTCTAACTACGACCGCACAGCACCAGGGTAAATTCAATAATATCTTCACAACATTACTTCCAATGCAACCAAATATAACCAGACCGTTTGCATATGAGTAAGGTGTATGGTGCCCACTGAAAATGAACTGAAAACAGTTTAAACAAAGGTATCCTCTAAACTTCAAAGGATACCAATCTCTGGACCACTTTAGAGTCTAAAGTCATCTAGAGATCATGTAAGCTGTGTAATTTAACCAAAAACATGAACATGAATACTGACATATGACTGGTATCATGTGATTTGAACATAACATGAAGCCAAAAGTTTCTCTGACAGATGGACCCAGGTTCAGGCTTTTTTAAATATTTGTGCAAATTAATAGAAAATCTTAGGCATTGTTCAACAGTGAGACTACCCTAAAACTATGTCAACGATTTTACATAAAAATGACAAACTTCCATAATCAATGCATATGTTCAGATTTTCTTCAATTCTCTGAAGAAACAATGCCTTAACAGATCTGGATCTTAGCCGTATTGAAAACCACACGACACAAACACTTTCACAAATTGTCTCTTACCGTACTGCAGGGATCTTGTCAGCTGACTGATTGCTGTTAGGTGGCAAATTATTTTGTAGGTCCTTTGATACCGTAGGTTTTGAGTCCCCAGCTTTTGAACATCTAGGTTTATGGCTTGCAAGCAAAGATTTTAAGCTTTTCTTAACTGGATGCTGGTCATTGATTTTAGATCCACCATCTTTGTTCAAGTCCTTGCTTGAATTGGGTTTCAGTTTTAGGCCCCATGAATTACACCCATCCTCTTTCAGTCCTTTCGCAAATGGGTTGTACTTGACTTTCAGTTGAGCAAATTGTGGATTTTGGTAAGCAGTCACTGCCATAAACTCAGTCTGGGGAAAACTGAAAGTCAGAACACTGGAATCATTTAGCGTAATGTCTTCAATCGCTTTTTCTGTCTGGACCAAGTATAGCTGTGGTAAGTACCGGTGATTGGGATGTAAGATAATGTTCCCATCTTGGTCAGAGATGTTGTTTGTGAGCTTCAGTCTGTAAAAAGACACTGGACTCTGCATCCAGTGTTGACCTGTGGCTGGGGAGTCTGGATGAGCAAAAAGCGGACTCTTCATATGACATTCAGCTTTTCTGGAAACTTGCCACTTCTCACCTGTCCACTTGTACTGACAATGGTCTAAGGGTTGAATGTCCATGATTAAAGAGTACTTCTTAGCTGGCTGCAAACAAGAGATGCGGAAGCGGCAGTAAGGGAACATCCTGTTGCCTTCTTTTGTCAGAATCATTTCCGTTTTGCGGCTATAGAACTCTTTCCACATGCTGTTGTTGTCCAGTGTCACTTTGATGCCTTTAAAGGTGATGTCTGGTGATAGGGTTTCTGAATGATTGTTTAAATTGGTTGGACGCTTCAGTCCTCCCGTGCTGACAATTGCATCCTTAGAAGGGTACATCTTGTGTTTACAAAAAAAATCTGATTCCTCACTGGACACACAAGTGATTTGTTCTGTTCCACTTTCACTTCCCTTTTCAGGTCTACGAGGCACAAAACATCCAAGTGGATGATCAGTTGCAGGAGCTGCTGCATGGGCAGTTGCCACTTCCTTCAGGAAAACCATACCTTGCTTGGTCTTTGTAGAGGCCATTAACAGGTCCCAGAAGGGTCCTGTTGTGTATTCGTATTTGCTTCTGTTTCACAACAGCATCCTGAAAAACAAGATCCATAACATATCAGCTGGTGAACATCTCACTCACACAGCAAACCAGGCAACATATTGCACATGCAAACCACCATTCAGTGTTAAGTTGTGCAAAAGTGTTTCTAGACAGACAAACAGGCAGGAAGCCTCAAAATGATAGATTAACTAAGTCTGGAAGTGCCACAGGATCTTAACTTCAATTTCCATCACTTTTGGAGGTATCTTTTACTTTTGGTGATTTTAAACTACTACCTGCTCAATGAAATTTGACTTGACTTTTAGCATTTTCCATTGGGTTGTACCTAGTACCAGTTACATTCTTAGAATCTTCTCGGCTGGGGTTTAAGGCAAGTTGAGCCTAGCTGAGAATGTGATGTCCAAATAGGTTGAGGATGTCACTGGATGAACCATGAAAGTGATGAAAACGCCACCATTTAAAAAATAAAGTTGTAACAGCAACCTGTAACTTTAATATTTGCAAGATTAGAAAGAGTAAATGGCTACATAGATCCACCTCTAGGGTCCAATAACAAGGTACAAGTACTTGGTTGCTGGGGTATCCGCCATTGTTATTGTTTGTTTGTGTCCTTAAAAACCACCATGCTATCTTGTTTCAACTATATCCCCAACTGTAAGAGGAATTGCCCTTAACTGAATGCAGTCTAGTCGTGTGGAGTTGTTGGAAAACAGCCATTTGACTTGATGACCTCCAACTAATGGTAACTGGTAACAGACGTTCCCGTACACTATTCCTGCTATATGGGTATGGCATTCCATATATGCCATACCAGTCAACACCTTCCACCCTGTTACTGTGTGCTTGACTGTCTGGTCTTGTCTAGTTGCCATGATTAGTGCCTCTATATTGTCTTTGTGACCGGCCATTCATAGGACTTCTGGATATCAGCCATTTCTGCATTCTGTTGCTGGTGTATATTAAGCTATGTATCAACAATGGTTCTTCCTTTTAACCCTCCCTCCCCTGGTGGGGGAGGGAGAATCAAGATACTGCGCAAGATACTTGCTTAGAAGTTCATTACTGGAGGCAATGTTTCATATGTATCCCTGGATCTTTGTTGTTTCCTCCTGGATAGTGGTTCTGATTAGGGCCGGGTAAAAATAAAAAAAATAAAACAAGAAATCGATTTAATCAAAGTTAATCCCAGTAGTCTCGTGTGTAATGTAACAGTGGTGCGTTTACGTCCAGTTGACATTCATTCAAACCTGCACAAACCTGCAAGATGGCCAACGCAAGCAAAAATCCGCTAGGCAAACCTTCCCAACTTAAGTTTGACATCTGGAACCATTTCGAATTTAAAACCACAAAGGACAAAGAGACAGATAAAACCAAAGTGGTTTACAAGATCTGTGAAGCTTTGGTCAGTTATTTCTGTAATACTACAAACCTCAGAAACCACTTGACAAGGTATCACACTAGGCTGAGGTTAGATTCTGACAAAAGGTCGTTCAGAGCAAAACAAAACTGAGGGAATTGTTAAAATTGCCAGCCGATTCTCCGCGGGCCATAAAGATAATGGAGGCCATCGCAACTTTTGTCTGCAAAGATTTATGCCCATACTCGGTAGTGGAAAACGAAGGCTTCAAGTGACTCATTCAGGTGCTTGATTTGAATTGATTTAAGAAGTTGGCCACAGTACCCCACCCTAGTTCTGATATTCACTAGCCTCAATTATTTTTCTTCTTGTCATACGATCTCCGGGTACTGATAATGGGGTGAACTCCTCTATGCCATCTATGCAAGCTTCCTTGCAAAGATTATTTTCCCTCTCTTTAATACCATTCAGCTGAATTAATGTAGTACAAATGTCATCCCAGTGTCCTTGTTGTATGTCCTTGTGAGATCAATCAGTGAGTCAATGTCTTGCTCAAATCCAGGCATTCAGTTTGATTTTCAGAAAATGTCATTGCTATCTGGTGTTTGTTTTGTACATAAATCATGTCATGGGCTGGTCGGTTGTCATTTTCTGATCAGTCCAAAATTTGTAATGGAAAACCAGGGTGCAGGGTTGAGAAGGTACTAATGGAACGGTGCCATTAGTGTCCTGTTGATGTTATGGAGCTTGAAGAAGTCTAGTATCTGTGTGTAGCATGGAGTTGTAGGCTTTAGCTCTAGTCAATGCAAGAGATGCATAGGTTTATATACCTGATCAAACAATCTTGATGGGCTCTTTTGTCGATCAAATGCTGGATGTTCTGCTTCTTATGTTTTTCATCTAGTAGGCAAAGTCCACTATGATCAGTGCAACTGTAGAGTACAACAGCTCATTGGTCTCTGTGATAGTTGCCGTAGCTATCGTGTATAAAGCTGCCTTCAAATTCTTTATGTATTTTATGTAAGAGGCCTTGGCAAGGGTGACACATCCTGCAAATATCTAGTTTACAATTGGACTTCAATCTCAAGTAATAAATAGTGTTGGGATGCAATAAGAAAAAGTTAATGTAAATAATCAGTCAAGATTAGTCGATTTTAAAATTAATTTGTTGTTTCAAATAGTTTAATTTGCTGGTTAAACTGTAACATCTTTTTTCGCCCCATGTTATAACTATTCAATCAATTGTATCACTGTTTGCCAAATTTTGTGTGCTGACATCACTCATGTACAAATTATTTGCTCATTAAAATGTACTTTGGGTATATTACCACCATGTATCCCACTTGAATGTGCGAACCAGCACGACTGGCATACGAGAATCAGGAAACTGAGAAAGGTGGGTGAGCTTTTTTTCTCAACAACGTTTTTTTTTCTGTAACTAGTTTATCTAAATGAAGGCATTAAAGCCCAATCCCTACATACACAAAGATTTATACAATAACAAATTTGTAAACAAATTCAGAGAAGAAATATGTGAAGATATAAGATACTCACTGCTTTAATATCAGTACTTAAATACAGCCAAGTTACAGAGCCAGGACCTTTGATGTCTTTTATCAGTTTCAACCTATAAGAATACATTTATTGACCTCAGAATCCCTATCACAAAGGAGTTATTTGCTGCCTACTATATTCTTAAATTCTCAGTCATCTGTTCATTCTTTGTTGGAGCTAAACTTCAAAACAATTAATAGAAAGACTAGACGATGGAACTGTAAAAGTAAATCCAATAGTTTAACTTTAACTTTTGCCATTACGCTTTTAAAAAATCCTTTAATCACCTGAGGATAAAAAGAAAAGTAGGAAAGTATTTAATCTCAATGCCTTCCATTATACTATATCATTTCACATTGCTACACTTAAATTCCTGTAAGTACAATAATAACCACAAACGAGGAAAGACCAACATCACTGGTTTTATACTTTAAAAACCTAACATGGCATGGAGGTTGGCTGTGGAATCTAAGCGATGCCCAACACAAGTCCTATGAATGAAATCTTAGAAGGCACAATTTCTTCTCTTTAAGATCAGTTCCTTCTGTTGCTTAACTAAACATTGCATTCCATCTAAAAGTATTTTTTAGTCATTTTTGGTGGCGTTGTTGCTTTTGCCTTTTTCCTTTGCCTGCTGAATTAAAACAGCAAGCAGGTTAGAGATAATGGTGATACAGACTACATATATGTTTAATAGATGTATGTAAAGATTTTATAAAAGTACATATTGAATATTTTTTGGGATACTTTTGTGTTCGTAATAAGATTGAAAGCTTTAGGACAGGTCCTGCTCTTCTGCGTATGTTAGAGGAACATGGTCAAATAATACTGTCTCTATTAGATGTGGTAAATGTGTAGGATTCTGTAGTTATGAAAAATATATGCAATTCAGCACCAAATTACAATACTTGTGACTCCTCGGATGTGCGGTTAGGTTCTTTCTTTAGTTACAAAAAACCACAACATTCTTATGAGTGTTACTTTTTTTTTTTGCCTGGTATTTGGAATGCTGAACTGGTTTTTTCAGTTATTTATGGTGGTTGGTAAAGCTACGCCCACTTATATTTCTGCATACAATCTGAGGTTTTTCAAACAAACTGGGACTGTACTGCTCTTTTGCTCCTTAGCCCTGCACACACCTCTGCATGAAGGTTTCACAGAAGACAGTCCATTGCTAAAGTATTTCATTATGGGAGGCAGATGTCTCCCACTTTTAAATGGTTTCTGAACACTAACACAAGACCATTTGTCTTCCTTCTGCTTGTTCTCCACAGATGTTCCATTCCGCTATGCTGTAGAATAACTCGTACAAATTAAGTGTTTTACTGAGGCTCGAGATGACCAAGTGACAGCTGCATGGTGCAAATTCTTCTAGGATGCAAACTTTCAATAATGCTGAATTGTTGCATTAATAAACAGTCACAAATGTCTGCATCTGAAGTCTGCATCTGAAGCTATTCATACACTTTTACTCCTTCCATCATAATCTGCTAAAATACCATAAACCTACTCCATACAGCACAACACTGACTGAAATATTGGAATCCTTTAACCATGCACTTTCTGATTAAATCAAAATCCCTTTTGGAGAAGAAGTATAAATTGTACTGCTTGTTCCCACCAGTGAATATGCAATGCTGTTGTGCACATCCCCATCAAAGGAATAATATACTACTGTTAAGTTTGCCTTGTTGCTGTTCGGTAGCGTGACTATGCCAATGGATATCTACGGTCAATTTTCCGCTCACTATTCTTGAATTCACAAGCAGACAAAATGCACGTCCCAATACCTGCTGCAGCAGCATTTTGACACAACAAGCCTGATGTCCAAGTCTAATATGCATTTGGAAATATCCACGAGCCACTTAGTTCCACGTATATTCAATGGTGCGCTAACTACTAAAAGTTCACTTGTTTAGCTAGCTGTTGTGTTTGCAGGTCTGTTGATGATGAGTTTCTAAACCAACAAGCCATAACGGGGAATGTAGTTCATGTATGTTTTATGTCTTAAACCGGCTTTGGTGACATAGGTGCACTATTATTAATTCTATCCACTTTATTTCTGCTGTTTTCTACAACATGCTCGCTCCCACTACCCAGCGGCATGACACTTAACCTGGAAGAAAATACAGTTAGCTACAACAGAACAGATACTGTGACTCTCTGTGACTTGGAACGTTGTTATATTAAAGTGTCCTGTTCAAGCATGATTTCCTAGCTAGCACAAGGCCTCAGGCTGAAGCCCAGACATGGAAGCCCATCAAACGTTAAACCCTCTGCGAGCACGTGCTCTCCAGCTAGTAGCACATTACCTTTTGCCTATCCGTACATATGGAGGGTGTCCCCGGAGCGATAAAAGTCCGTCCTAATCGCCGACTTTTCCCCAAACCATCCCGTTAAAACGCGGCCCCTTGTTGAACACAGGGATCCAAACAGCACGCGTCGTTTTCTTCACCGTCACGTCATCGCCCACCCCATCCTCTTCCTCCGCCACTGCGCAGACTCAGACCCCGTCCCGCTGCCTCCACCTGGCTCGCGCGCTTACCAGCTACCAGCATATTTACCGTGTGTGAATTCCGGGAGGGAATCCAATGGCGGTGCCTTCTCCCATTTTCCTGTTATTCGCTTGGACCGTCTCTGGACCCCCCCACCCCCAGTCCCCTCCCGCGCGCGCACCCCGGGCTGTACAAACGAGCGACAACCGACATCAAACAGACCGCTGGACCCCGTCCGCGAGCTCTCCAGTCAACAGAAGTTATTGTTAATGGGGGGATACTGCGACCAACACGCTCATTCTTACGTTAGTCAGGTACAGTGTGGAATGGAAACGGTTCGTGTTGGGTGTAAAATATACGGGCTCGTGAAGCCGCACAGAACAGCCGTCTTACGTTCATAAGTGGACCCATTCGGCTGCCTGGACCCAGCCTGGCGTGTCTGAGAGGCTCGGAGCGGTGGACTCTACCCCAGTGAGTGAACTAAAAGGCTCGGGAGTGCTGTACGTATCGAGCCGCCGCCATGTTGTTTCCACCGGACTCGAAACGTGTGGAGTGGCGCCGAGGTGATGGCGGCTTTCGGGGCGAAATAGAGCACTACGCACACGGGGTTATGTTGATAGGTTGTTGGGACTCTTCCACGTTAACAACAGGAGGAACAGGATGGGGCCGGAAGTGAACGTTCAGATAACGGGACGTCTAGCAGGAACTGCCACACACAGCTAAGATTTGAGTGTTTCCTTAAAGCCAGGGGCGTTCAAAGTCCGTCCTGTTTGGGCCCAAAGAGGACCAGAATCAGACCTACCTGATGTTAGCCTGTCTCTGCCTCCCCGTGGACCACAATTCTACCTGATGACGTCTGTAGAAAAAAACTAAGGTGTATTTCATGGATGTGAAATGTGACACAAAACCTTAACAGAATTTGAAATGTTTTTTATTTCATGTTTGGTTTGAGTCATAATGGCATGACCAAAGCGTCAATTTATTCCTCTGACACCCAAAAACCCATGGACATGTAATGCTTTTCTAATGGTGTTCACAAACAGATGTATCAAGACCCCGTTCACAGCGTTTCTGTAAGTAAATGGATACATAGAACAATACATATCAACAAGTTAATATGAAGGAAACAACCTCATCTTCCAGCCCCCTGAGGTGGTCCCATAAGCCCTTATTCAGAAAAGACATTTTGATGGATTGGTTTTGGTGCACTTGCAGATACAAACCTGTTTAAAAACGGGGGATGGGTGGGATTATTTGTATGTTCATATGTATAGTTTCACACTGACCAATTCTATAAGCCTTTTATGTGCACACAGCTTGATAAATCTGGTGAAAAGAATATGTTTACCTTTGTGTGCACACACTTTTATTAATCTGGTTCCTTGAGTCCAGTTGAGTCAAAAAAAGACTTCCTATGGATGGACTTTTGTAAAATCCATCCAGCTGCTATGCAAAGATGACAAAGCAGTTTAGTTAGCTAAGCACCAAAATGACCACTGAATGAATTGGCAACATGTCTAGACAACATTACTTGGTTAAGAATAGAGGATAATTCTGCAGTAAAGCAGGTACAAGGATGGATGATATCCAGTCATCAAACAAGACTGGAATGTTTCCACAACACCAGGTTTGTCTTCAAATGCTTATCTCTCCCTCAGGGTCAGGAGAATTTATCTCTGTTCAAAAGAAGATAACTAATCGCATCATGGGACTTTTATGCACCCAGGCCTTTGAAAAGGAGACCTGCATTAATGACTAATATGTGTACCTCACCTACAGAAGGCAGCAGTGGAAGCGCTCTGTTTGGTGGAGGAGGGGAAACAGCCTACAGCAGCTGAGAGCTGCGGTAAAACCAGGGAATTTTATTTATAATAAATAACTCAAAGCTGAAAGAGTTCACAGGCTTAGCAGAACCTCCTCATGCTCCTCTAAAAAGAGAGCATTCTTATTTCTGCCTCCTGTTGGTGAGGTAAAAACCTGCTCTTCAAAAACACCCAACTATCCTATAAAATTTATTGGTGAACATCTCTCATTTGGAAGACCAAGACTGCAAAGAAACAAACACAGGTAAGTCATTAAGAACTGTTGTACATCTTTGTACGCTCGGTATTATTTCATTCTTGAGTTGACAAAAGAACCTGAACTGAAATGTATGATGAAAATGTCCTTTTACTGGAACATTTGGCTTTCATGTTCTGAAGAGAAACCTGTTCCTCTGAAACACTTTACCACACTGAAAAGATCATTGTAAAGGGGAGGTTCTCATGCCTTGAGAATCGTACGTCTGACTTAACTGTAATAATGTAGGTCTGCAGTGCTTATGTAAAGATACTCAATAAATATTCCACCAGAAGCATAGTATTCACTTCCCCATTGATATTCATCTCACATTGGTTTAGAGAGGCTACATCAGGTGTTTCTTCCTTGGTTATTTGAGAATGTAAAGGAAAATTCCATTCAAGTGAAATGTAACACAGTGGATGTGTCGCACAATCTGCTGCTCCATCAGCAACAGATGAACACCAAGCCAGAGTGTGGTCTCAAAAGATCATAAACTGATGGCCAGAGGATAGCCATAGAAATACATATTTATGGCTGTATCTTAGCTGATGTGAACAGCCTAAAACAGCAAAAGAACTGTCATCTGATTGCAAAAAAACATAGATCTAAACCAGCTTATACTGTCCATGACATCACATTAAACGGGTCTTCTAACAGCTTCCCAGCACTGAAATTGTTTACGACCCGATTTCTACTTACGTACATCAGATTTAGTTGCTCTAAGAATGAAGGCACATATGGTCAGAAGAATGTGCAGGGTACACGCATTCCATCTTATCTGATTTCCTATTTGAGTCAAGTATCAAGAGTAGTTGTGTATGGAAAATGTGCATGGCCAAAAGGCCTTGTTGGACTCATACTCCGTGTGAATTTTACTCCGTGTTTACTCCATTTTAATCGCTACCTTCTTCTTTAACAGGTCGATGAAGCGATTATGAAAAATCTGATTATAAACCCGGTTATACGTTAATACATGTTGCACTTTCACATTTGGTTTTTGGAAGCTAAAAGCCCGGAGCGTGATGTTCCTGTTGGTACCCAGAGGGGGCACTCCCACATTTCACCTGGATGTTTCTCTGCTGCTGCTGCTCTGGGATGTCAGTGTGCACGTGTGTGTGATCTACATGAATCCAGAGGCGTGAATGACATCAGTAACACTTTATTTCTCACAGAGGTAAGTATGTTAGGTTTAATTTCATGACAACACAATCAGGCAGCGCAGATTCCGATAACCTAAAACAGAATCTGTTATCAGAATATGGAGAAGATTCAAGTTTAAAAGAGTAAAAAAAAAAAAAATGCTACTTTCACACATTCAGATCTGAAGCACGTCTCAGAGGAGAGATTTGAGACCATACGAATGCTCAAAAAATGTACTTCCTGCATATCTGCCCACTCTGAGGGTCCCCCAGGTCAAAGCCCCTTCAAAGTCCCAACAGTTCTGGCTTGTGTGAGCGGTCTCTCTGTGAACATTCTGGGACTGTAAACTCACGTGTTCACTGTAGTGGCTTCTCTCAGTACTTCTCTGCACATTAAGGGCAGAGAGAGAAGAAAAAAAAACGTTACAAAAAATGAAAGCAGTCCAGATCCTGGCCCTCGGTCCCTGAACAGGACTGTACATGTGAGGAGCCACCAAAGTGGAGCTCATTCATCAATCTCATTCCGAAAGGTTTGACTTCCCTGACAGGTCCTGGGCAGTTAGACAGTCTTTCATCGTCTGTGAACGAACGAAGAGAGACCACCTGTACTGTGGAGGGATCGGCCGGCCTTGCCGGAAGTCAGTTTGCGTGAAATGCTGACCTGGAATAATTTGTGAAAAGATTAAGCCTTTTCTATTTGACAGATGATTCGAATAATTTTTCAGTCGGCATTTTTCCTTAAACTCAGTTACTATCTCAGTTAAAAGACAAAACCTCGTCAAACGGCACAGCCATGAATGGGTGTGCACACAGCTAATTTCACAATCATTTCTGCACGGTTGCACTTTCTGAAAATAAGATATTGTCACAAATGACAACGAGAAACTAAATCTGTCCTACTAAGAACTCTTGGCCCACTGGTTGTTTTATGGAAAATGGGGTGGCCTCTTCCTCGATTTTTCCCCAGTTTCTGGATATTGAAGGAGCGAGGTGAGCATGTTCTTCTTCCATGCAGACCGGATTCTGTGGAGGAAAAGGTGCGCACATGCTAATGGTTTATGCATCAGCGTTTAGTGCAGCCACATGTCAAAATGAATGAGTTTAGTTCGTTCTCTGAAACTGGAAATAGAAAGAAGCATATATCTTTAAACAAAGGAGGCCCCTGCTTAAAAGATCTTTTGTACATTTGCTGGTTTTACACATCGCGTCCAGCAAATGCTGCCTGTGCTGATAATCAGCTGTGTGTTGTTCAAAATTCGGTCCTCTCCAACTCAGTGGAATGCAGCCTACAAGTAATGGGAAAAGCTGTGGAATCCATCTGTATGTTCACCAGCGTGCAGCCCCGCTGAACTCTCTTAGATCTCCCAGTATCAACAGACCAGTACAGCGTAAAGTTTCCCCAACACCGATGGGGCCCAGATGTGGGCAACAGGTCTGCTTAGTCTCACAGTTCTTCTAAACAAACCTGATAACTCATGCCGCTAACAAAGGTTTCAGCAACTTATCACGCAGAGCACAAAGCAAAGACTTCTGACTAGTTTACAGTAAATATTCTGCTTCTAGAGAAACTTGTTTCAAGCACTGCAACTGTTAGTAAAATCAGCCAATGGCCTAACCGCTTCTTGGAATCAATTCCACCGTCCGTAAGACATTTTAAACCAGAAAGTAAAACACTGCAGGTTTTTCTCTCGTTTATCGTTACAGCCTAGAAGTACTAGTTCCGTTCTCCTTGGGGATTTGTAATGTTTCATTTGCTGTCTATCTCTATCCATTACTGGCTCATTCACAGATTATTATTTTCTTTGACTGGTAGACAAAACTCCAGACAGTCAAATCCATCTTCACATTTGGCCAAATTCTGACGCCCCACAGGGTATTGAATGTTCTAACAGGTAAATGAGCAGATCATCCACCGCAGGACCAGTCAGCTCAGGGCTGGTGACCAGGAGAGTGAAATGTCCAGCTGTACTCCGTTGGGTCTTCTTTATGTTGCTGCTCAGGTGAGCACCCAATCAGGTGAGAGGAGTGCTGCGATAGGTCAACCCGTGTCACACATTAATTACAACGTCATCCTCTTCCTCCATGATCTCCTGTAAGGCGTCCACTAGGTCCCCACAAGGGCTGATGATGTACCTGTAGTCTCCTTCGATAGTCCTGTTAGCCCCGTACCCCACCATGAGCCAGTCCTCCTCCTCTGCCGCCCGCTGCCATTGGACGCCCCAGCTGGAAGCCTCCGCACCTGCCTGGGGCCCCGGGTCCCGAGCCCCAGCGGCTCCTCCTCCCCCGTCCGGCTCCCCGTCTTCCAAGTTGACGTAGAGTAAAGGCTCCTTTACCGGGGAGGCGGGGGACAGGCTGAGCTGCAGCCCCTCCAGTTGACCGACAAGCTGCTCAAAGCTGGGCCGGCACTTTGGGACCGGACTCCAGCAGCTGTGCATGATCTCATAACTGAGAAACACAAGGTGAGAAGAAATCACTTTAGAGCCCAGCTCATCATCTACAGTGGGGCTTGCACTTTAAGGTTTGCCGGTGGAATTACAAGAAACTTCAACCCTTACGCAGGATGTTATAGGCCAGTTAAGGCCTGCTAAGTGCTCACTTCTCATACTCTGAACTATACAGCACTGCTGCAGTTAGGTTTTTGTTTGTTCTGTCCAAATGTAAGGTGGTCGTGATTACACAAAAATACACCAGACAACTATTCAACTAATGACATAAACCACAGACATTTTTAGTTAGACAGATGATTACCAGTGTTCCTTTCTGCAGCTGTTAGCTTCCTGTATACAACTTTGGAAGGATTAGAATGGCTTCTTCTGGGTCATTCAGAATCAGTTTGATAATCTGTGTCCTGGCACCATTAAGAGGTATCTGATTGTTCAGGTTAATCAAACTTTTCCGAGAACCTGGATATGCTGAACCTGCTGTTCAATACACATGTTGTTTTGTGATCTACAGAAGCTACAAAGAGAGTTCTTTACAGCCAGCCTCTATGTTTGTGTTAGCTTAGTGCACAAACCTGAGGGCAACCTCAGGGGTAATGGCTATGATGACAAAGGTGACATCTGTCCTGGTTTACTCAGACTTGTCTTTTCAGGTTATGAACATGTACATGTAAAAAGGTCATTTCAAACGTCACCTAATGTCACCTGACACTTTTCAAAGGAGGAGCTTGTATGACTAAAAAGGTCTGCAGGGATACTTCAGCATATGTCATGAGCTCACTTTGAGTTGAATTACTTGATCTTAAAGTAAATGTTCTTATCAGTAAGGATGTTGAATCACTTCAATTTCAAAGTATGATGTATAGACCTTATTTTGATAGCACCATAGAAGAGACTGGTCAGGAAATCCTGACGAGGGAGGCGCTCATGCTAAGCTGCACACATTTTATGCTATACTTTGTGTCTGTAAGTACACAATCTGGGGGGATAATGCACAGCAATGTATGGCTCTATGGAACTACTCTAGGTCTGGGACTCTGGTCCCTGCATTGTGTCATTGTGCGCACTCACATGTCATCTCTACAGTCTGCAGGCTTCTTCAGTCGCTCCCCTTTGATCAGAAACTCGTAGATCTCGGAATTTTCCACTCCGGGATATGGAGTCTGACCGCGAGTCATAATTTCCCACATTGTCACTCCAAATGCCCACTGAGAGACACAGAGATCACGTGAAGCCATTTAAGTATTGTCTAATCATGCACCGTGTGTGTGACGTGTGTGTGTATTTACCACATCACTCTGACTGGTGTAGACATTGTCTGCCAAACTCTCCAAAGCAATCCACTTGACAGGCAGTTTGGAAACAGAGCCCTGGCGGTAATAATCTCCACTGTAGATCTTCTTAGAGAGACCAAAGTCTGCCACACACACCAACATGTTCTCGTCCAACCTAATACACACACACACATTGCAGTCCCTCTTAGATGTCTACTCTTTAAGCGTCATAAGAGATTTTTTTCTGTGGGCGTGTGGTGCTGTGCAGGTTTATGCACTAACATGCAGTTTCGGGCAGCAAGGTCTCTGTGGATGATGTTCTTGCTACTTAGATACTCCATTCCTCTAGAGATGTCCAGCATGAACTGGACCAGGGTCTGCAGAGGGAGGTCCTGAAGGAGAGAAGGCAGTTTCTTATTTCACCAGACCTCAGCAGTGAGGGGGGAACCATCACGTTTGGTCTCCGTGCTCACAAAAGGCTGATCTCCCAGGCGGGACAGCAGCAGGAAGGTGTGCAGGTCCCCATGCTTCATGAAGGGCAGGACCACCATGGGAATGGGCAGCCGCTGGCCTGGACGCCGGTGCAGGCTCACTCCTTTTGGACGGAACAGTCCGTCAGTCAAACCCCGTCACTGCTCCTCAGTGTGTGTGTCTGTGTGTGTGTGTGTGAGTGTGTTACCGATGAGCGGGATGACGTTGGGATGATGAAAGTCCTTCATGTAGGCTGCCTCCTTCAGACACTGTTCAATGTCACCTGACGAGGTGATGTCAGCTGGACAAGAGCACGCACACAGACACAGAGTTCTTCAGCCGATTCACCTCTAAAAAATAAAAGAAACCTTCCCAAGAGAAGTGGATGTACACCACCATATGTGGCTCCACCTTAATGCCTATTCATCAGGTACTACACAAATGCTTTAAAACTGTGTCTTGATAACAAGTTGGACCCTTCCTCCCCCCTATAGCACACACAAGGCTGTATTCAGACTTTTGAGATCAGGTTCTTATGGATCAGATCACCAGACATTTTTTCCTTAAACTGATTTGGGCTCAGACATAGCTGACAGTTTCTGGATATAGCTTATTCTTTTTTTTCTTTTTTCTTGGTGTATGGAGTATAAAATTGCTATTTGCTATTTCAGGGCTGAATAGGACAGACGGAAGACTGCCTTCTTGACTGTTGTCTTGCGCTTGTGTCATGTATGAATGACGCCATGATCCATTCTTTTTGCTCAACTGGAATGTCTAATGGTAAACAAACCGTGTAAGGCTTGTCACCTCTATAAGGCTCGTTTAAGGCTAATTAAAAACACTGTATGTGAAACCCTTTGTCGTGTACAGATAGGATCAAAAGCCTCTCTGTGATCTTATTCATGTTAAACATGGAATCCAACATTTTTGCTGCTGTGCACCACTTAATATTTCATCAGTAAGAGGATGGGAAAAGCTCTGACTCACATTTCAGCACTTTGACTGCCACCTTCTGCACAGACGAGTTCTCAGTCTTGAAGATGGCCTCACGCACCGACCCAAACTCACCTGCATAGGATCACACACAAAGTTCAGTCACATCTCTTATTGTTAGTTTTATTCATGCAATTGGAAGCTAAACGTTTTTAATACCTAGCCAACTAATTTGTCAGTACTTTTCAAATCCTGGATTATTTCTGGTGCTCATTTCAAGTGTTGACTGAGTGCTTACAAAGGGCTGATCTCCCAGATGGACAGCAACAGAAAGGTGTGCTCAATGAGTTTCAAATGTAGGATTTAAAAAAATCTTTTTAAAAGTCACCCGCTCTCTGGGGCGTTGTAGAAAAAAATAATCATCATACATATGATTGTTATGACTCGTGTACTCTCACAGCATTTATTGTTTACTGTCTTACCCAGATACAGGAGCACATTGTTCAAATATGAGTTGATATGACACATGTATCCTTGAAGTGCTTATTAGTCGTATCCCATTCTGACCTCGAGACTTCCAGGCCATGTTCAGCAAAGATGTTCCTGTATACTATACCGACCACTTGGTTATGGCAATCTATGTTTGCTCTGCCTCGTCCCATTTTGCCCATGATGGCGCCTGTCCATGCTACTGTTGCGGTTTCTGCTGATTCACTAAGTACTTCATGTGTTACAGCCATCTTCCTGATGTACTCCTGGATGTTTGTCGTTTCAGCCTGAATAGTGGTTCCTGCACTCACTAGTCCTCGGCCACGTTCCTTTCTCTTGACATACAGTTTCAGGGTGCTGAACTTGGGGTCAAACTCTCCATGCATGGTAAGAAGCTTTCTTGTCTTGATATCAGTGGCCTCCATCTCCTCCCTTAGCCAGTCTATTATCCCACCAGGGTATCTCATGACCAGCCGGGGGTAGTTGTTGATTGTTTAGATGTTGCTATTCAACTGACTCTTCAGGATGTGCCTTATCTCTGCAGGCATTTGGCAGTTGCAGCCTTCCTTCCAGCCTCTTTGTTCCCATTTCCCTGTGCAATTGCAAGGTACTTGAATCTTCAATGTCTGCAATGTTGCTTTCTGGTAGTGCAGTTCCTTCAGTTCTGATTACCTCCCTCCTCTTTGTAACCATACAGCTACACCTCTAGTCCGAATGACATTCCGATGTTGCTGTAGATCCTAGTGGTGTGGACCAGTGAATCAATGTCTCATTCACAACTAGAATACAGTTTAATGTCATCTATGTAGCGGAAGTGACTGATATTTGCTCTGTTCCATACTTGGTATCTGTAGCAGGCCTTGTTATTGAAGGGGTTCAGGCCTATGCAGAACAGTAGCGAGCACAGAGCATAACCTTGGTAGATTCTGCACACCATGGCGACTTGTACAATTAACTTGAAGTTGGCCTCTAGTGTTGTTCACCTTGGCATCCAATTCCTGATAAAGGTAATTAGGGTCCTGTTGATCTTGTACAATTCTAGGCATTCCAGGATCCATGTTTGAAGCATTGAGTAACAGGCTTTGTTGTAGTCAATCCAAGCAGTGCACAGGTTGGTCTTACAGTGTCGAGTGACTCTACTGTCTACCAGAAGCTGGTGTTCCACCCCTCTGATTTGCTGGCAATTCCTTTTGGTGTCTCGCTCATGTATTGAGCATTTGTGTGTGAATATATAGATATTATACACACACACACACGACACATAAAACACCTGCAAAGGATTACTGAGCCTTGAATTGGTCTCTCAGTCTGGATCACAATCACGAAGACGACTGTTGACTTGCCAGGTGTCCAGCAGACAGTCCACTCTTCACAAGTCGGTGCATCAAGAACCACCACACACAGACGAATATTAGACATGAGCTACAAAACACAAGTCGTACTCCCTGTGTCAAACCACTCCTGAACCAGACAACATCAGACGTGTTTTACCTGGGCTAAGGTGTAAAGGAACTGGACTGTTGCTCAATGGTCCAGAGTCCTGTTGTAAATTATGCATTATGCAAGAGTTGAGGCACAAAATCCAAGACCAGTGTGAAGTTTCCACAGTCAGTGATGGTTTGGGATGCCATGTCATCTACTGGTTTTGGTCCAATGTGTTTTCTGAAGTCCACAGTCAATGCAGCCATCTACCAGAGAATGATAAGCACTTCATGCTTCCCTCTGCTGACAAGCTGTATGGGAATGCTGCTTCTCTTTTCCAGAAGGTAACCTGCTCACACGGCCAAAAGGACCAAAAGCTGGTTCAGTGGCCGTGTTGTTCTTGTTGTTGATTGGCCATCAACCCCCACGACCCCCACCCCCGAAACAACTGTTGAAACTGAAATCAATTCAAATATTTTTTCATTACTTTACAATAAACATATCAATGCTGATTTTGGCTGATTTTAGTCGAACTGGGTGATAATTAACTGAAATATATTGGATTTTTTTTTTTTTATTTAAATTTTGTGAGATTAATCTAATAAAATCATATTGAATGTAGATACTTTGAACAAATCTGCTTTAGTGCAGGTTATTTTCAGTGTCATATATAATGGTGTCCTTCCCACATTAGATTCAACATACTTTCCCTTGTCTGTAACTCTTTTCCCCCCTTAAAGCCCTCGGGTGTGTTAGTTACTGTGTTTTATATTCAGACATCCAGGCCGGAATTTAGTGACACTCAGCACTTTGTTCTGTTTTGTACACTAACATAACCTCCCAGAGGCTACTAAATGTCAGGAGTCCCAGGTGATAGTAGGAACGCTGGAAGCAGGAACACACGCATTTTGATATTTCAACTTATGAAAATCACTTAATTAATTATGATAATAATTCAGAACAATATTCTGTCAACCTATTTGTAATTTCTTTTTAAATGATTCATTCATGTCCACACTGCTTATTCCACCTAGGGTGGCTCTGTTGGAAACAATCTCATTATCACTTCTTCAGTGTTGCTGTACAGTTGCTCTGTTACCTTTCCCCAACATGTGTCCCAGTGTAAGAAGCCGCTCTGGAATCAAAACGTCCTGCAGTTTGTTCTTCAGCTCACTGTTGATGCCGAGACTGTCCACTGAGGGGAGACACAAGGTCAGAGCCACATTCAGATTCCAACCGTACGGCCATCATTGCTCTCCTCGCCTCCCTCCCATCACAAGAGGCGAGGAGAGGGTTCAGACAGAGCACTCGTGCTAACTGACATTTGTCAAACTGGGTTATACTTGATGAGTGGCCATTTCGGTTTGACGTCAACTAAATATAATACCCACTTACACTCTTGGACAGTTGGACTAATACTGTCCTTCCAATGCCCTGTGCTAAATGGGTTTGTTCTGCCTGCCTTGTCTTTTTTAACTATACTTGCTGGATGAATAGACCACTTAAGCTGTCAGAAGTTAATTCTGATTACCTGTTTCAGTATAGCATGGCTCATGAGGTCAAAATTCATAATGAGTGTGGGTAAAACACATCTCATCAAAGTAAAATGGAGGGTTCAATTTCATGAGGCTGCCCAACTGAGTAGGTTAGCGAGGCTCCCCACTTCGAGGTATGTTCACATTCATGTATCACATTCAAACCATAGCCAAAAAGAATACCAAAGTATGAACTACATTTTTGCAAACAATAACCCATCATCATAAACAGATGTCTTTGTGTTATTGAAAAGGAAATTCTGCAGGTGCATCATTGTGGGAAAGCCTCAGCTCGTGTCTGTGCTCATACTTTCTGTAGCACAAGAGAAACGTAAACACTCGGTAGACTTACTGGAAATGTCTGACTTCAACTTCTGTCATCCTGCTTCAGCTTATGTCAACCTGCTTATGACTACAGTAAGTGAGTTGTTTATAGTTTGTGATGATTTTAATAGATAAAATGTGAGCTTAAAAGTCTTCTGTCTTGCTCCTGTATCTCTAACGAAGAATCTTCTCAGTGACAGTCAAAACAGAGCAGTCTATCTTCTAGGCCTCTTCTAAACAGCAGAGGTAAGAAGACTGGATTGGAATCTCTGGTGCGGCTTTAAACTGGTTCAAGTCCTATCTAGAGGAAAGGGGGTACTTTTTTATTTCATTGAAAGCTGTGTCTCAGACTGAATGGGTCCGACCTGCGAGGTTCCCCAGAAGTCAATCCTGGGACCCCTTTTGTTCAATCTGTACATGTTTCCATTTGGCCAACTAATATACAGCAATAATGTGTTCTACCACAACTATGCAGATGTCACTCAGATCTCCATGTTGCTGACAGCAGGAGAACACGGGCCTGTGGATTTATTGTGTCGCTGTATTGAACAGATCAGTTTGTGGATGCAGACCAACTTTCTCCAGCTAAACCCAGACAAAACTAAGATCATTGTCTGCGGCCCACAGAAACTAAGAGAAAGTGTCATTAGTCACCTTCAGACATTTGCTCTGGAACCTAAAAATCAGGTCTACAATCTTGGGGTAATACTGGACTCAGACCTGAACTTTAACAGCCACATTAAATCAATAACATCAGCAGCCTTTTAGCATCTCAAAAACATGTCAAGAATCAGAGGTATAGTGTCTAAACCAGACCTAGAAAGATGTATCCATCCATTTGTCTCCAGCCGGTTAGACTACTGTAACTGCTGCTCACTAAACCAGCTGTCAGACAGCTGCAGAACATCCAGAATGCTGCTGCTAGAGCTCTGACAAGAACCAGGAAATACCACCATATCAGTCCAGAGCTCAGGTCTCTGCTCTGGCTTCCTGTCACTCAGAATAGACTTTAAAACAGCTCTGCTTGTGTTCAAATCTCCTCATGGTCATGGGCCAAAGTACATTTTTTACATGTTAGAGCCATATGAACCAGCTGGACTCTGAGAATCTCAGGTCCTGGTCTCCTGCTGGTGCCCAATCAGGACCAAACAAGAAGAGGCTTAATTTCAGTTTTATGATCTAAAATTTGGAACAGTCATAATATAAATATAAAATAAGACAGGCCTCAACTCTGCCAATGTTTAAATTAGGGTTGAAAGCGGTTCTATAAGACACCTGAATGTATTTTATCTGCACTCTTCCCTCATCTTGATTGATCTAATCAATGATTATTTGCTTGTTTAACGTACTAATTATAGCTGCTTTAAACTACTACATTTTAATAAATGTTTCTTTTATGTAAAGCACTTTGAATTGTTTTGAACATGCAATTTGCTATACGAATAGATTTGCCTTAACTATGCTGTTCTTCCAATATATACTCCCCCTAGGTAATATAACCAAGCAACACAGACACATGTCTTACCATCTATAAGCAGATATCTAGCTTTACTTCACATTTAAATTCCACAAGGTGACTTTTTTTGATGAGCTGCTGGACAGTCACCAATCGATAGTTGAACAACAAATACTGTTTTAATAGTTTGACCATCTCCAAACTGTACAGAACTGTTTTACTGACTTAATAAGTAGCGATTTGGTATTTAGCATGGGTGATGGTAGTCATGATATGTTGAGCCAACTAACTCACCTAAATGTGTTGACCCTGCTTCTCAGTACAGAGCCCTATGTCTGAATACAGACCCGATACATTTTATGAAGACCACGTTCACATATCTACAGAGGGCTCTATTCTGGGGCTGACTGTTTAACAGGACAAGTTCACTCCATACTACACTAGGTTCTGATCCTGTTAAAAAGTCCTGTCATTTATTTTACTTGTTATATATGTATTGAACATATTTACTCATTTTTGTGTTACTGGTGAGGGTAAAGCCAGCAGGGTTGTTCACATTAACGGAAAAAAACCTGTTTTTAATCTAGAGGACCTCACACTTACACGTCGAGTCTTGGACATCACTGACATTTCTGCTGAAAGATCGAGCAGCTGTGAAGAAGACCAAACTCTCAGGACCAGGATCCTTGAAGGCTGAACTGAAACAGAAAGCCAGATTTCACATTTTCTCTGTATCATACCATCTGTGTGTGTGTGTGTGTGTCTCTTAGTCTCTTTCATTGCCTAACCCAAACTGTGTCTCCTTTCCGTGGCGCTTCGCAAGGAAAGTCAGCAGCAGGCCAATCACCGTGGCCAACAGCAGGCCCAGCAGCAGACCGACCCACACGTGGCTTCGCTGGGCTTGGACCTGCACTGAGGGACCAGCAGGAAGGGGATCAAATATCAGGTCAAAATGTCTAGTGGTCAGTAAACGCCATTTATGAGCCACAGGCAAAAAGGAAACAGAGTAGCACCAATTTCGGAGACGCAGGTCCTCCAAACCGTTCTTACTTTGACCATGTTTTCATCGTGATGTGACCGTGGGAAGAGTAAACAGGCAGTTTCTGGATATTAAAAGTATTCTACTATGTGCTATGCCAAAGCAGAAGCTCTTTTGGTGTCTTTAGTATCTTTTTTTGTTTATAGTGAGTTACACTCATCCGTTTGCAAATGAAGCAGCTTCCCAATGGCTAGCACAGATTGAAAACCCTAAATCACAGGCAACTTAATAAGGACATGTAATGGACATTGGGCAGGAGGATGATGGAGAGGAGGAGAGATTTAGACCAGGTCTTCGCTTCCAAGCTTTAATAAAAATACAAGGTGTTGTCAACAAGTACATAATGAGAAGATGTGGGGGAACACCAATGAGGTAATTCTGCACATGTGTAGGATTGTAAGGGAACCGATCTGTACATCTGGATGTCTGCCTATGTTCATATCATCAACCAGATAATTAAACTCTGTTCTCAGCTACACTTTCATTCTTTTCAACAGTTTGCCATATGTTCAGCCAGAGACAACAAAAAGCTGGATTCGTTTTCTGCTGATAACAATGAGGAATTTAGCTTCTACGCCTTGCCTCATCTGGGTAAATCAGAGGACTATGTGGTTAACTAGCCTTCACCTTTATACCTGTTGTTAAACCTATCACTGTTTAAACTTTGATAAAGTGGCTCCAAAAAACTGAGAATGAACTGCAAGGCTTCTTTGAATACCCACATCTGAAAGCACTCTGTGAGCCACATGGAGATAATATCAATGCCATTGATTACATACACTTCTGTGTGTTTAGAGTATTATTCCCACAGCAACTGCGAAGGGTTTCCGAAACAACAATGCCTGGATCAGCAGGGACCTAAAAGCTGGTGACATTAAAAAGAAAAGCTTCAGGGAGGGAAACAGGGACTGTTTCATAACGGAACTCAAATCTGAAATCAAAGTCCACACAGCTTGTCACCAAAGCATTCTCCCCATCACATTCCCCTCCGATGATCAGCAGGGTGATGTGGACCACAGATTCAACTGTGACAAAGTATAAAGGCATCAGACTGACTCCGTGGTGACATTTCTGCATAATGCTATGTGATGGATGCATTGGCTCTGCTGGAAGATCTTACAAATGGGAGAATTAGGATGGAACACATTTTTTAGGGCTCACTATGATTTCCTGGCCCATGATGGTGACAACTGGCAAGTGGCTCTTACCACCATGAACTGGCCAAAATGTAGCCTATACTGAAATATGACTGAATTATTTAATTTTCTGCCAAGTGCAATCATGGCTTTGTTAATATGACCAGTAGATACATCAGATTTTCTACAATGTGGGAGAACAGGACAACATGAAATGGCAATTTGCAACAAAGTCCGGTTTTCCAAATATAATCGACACAGATATTTGTCCACTGAGTGTTCTACTGACATTTATTTTTTTTCTCAGGCCACTTTGTCTACCATACAAGTTATTTTTAGTAACTTGCATGTTTATTTGACCATTTGTGACTTTATGTGGGCGTGTAGAGGGAAGACCTTGAACTTGACCAAAAACATTGAGCAGTAGTTGTGATTTATAAAGGGTAAATTATGTGATGGTGTACGTACGTATGGTTTTAGAAATCTGGATCTTTTTTTTTGGGGCTTATGACATTTTCGGTTTACGAACACTTTTAGAATAGATCCTGGCAATCTTATAAATGAGACTGCATATCTTTGCTTTTGATATTGTTTCCATAAACAAAAGGATGAGTCCAAACTGTCCATTTCTTTAAGTTTGACGGGGAAAAGCATCCATTTTCGATGGCTAGTGTGTGTTAATCTATCTGAGCTGTATTAGCTGGTGCGCTTAACATAAAACGACATTGTTAGTTGTATTGCTAAAGCAAAGGAAACATTAGTCAGAAACGCTCATGTCTTCTTCTGTGTGATAAAATAACTGATGTTCCAAAGAAGATGTAAACAGGTGCTTATATGTTGTGCTATGAGGTAAATGCAACTCAGGCTTACATGGAAGCAGTTGGGAAGGGGCATATATTTAATAGGCCAGTGATGGCGACCCTGGGCCTCGAGGGCCACTGCCTTACAGGTTTTAAAATTGATCTCTTCTAAAGATTTTTATGCTCTGAACAGGACTGCTGATTTTGTGTTGGTGTGAATAAGGTGTGTTGAAGCAGGGAAACCCCTAAAATCTGCAGGACAGTGGCTTTCGAGTCCTGGAGCTGCCCACCACTGCAAGGGGTTAGATCTTATTTGATACAACAAATGAGATCTAACCTGAGGTAGCTTTTGTGTACTCGCTACCATAAAGATCATAGATCAGATGGCAAGATCTCAATACCAAACGGAAACGTCTCATTAAATGAGCAGGATAGAATCTGGATTAAAATGACAGTTACAGAAGAACTTTCATGGCACACTTGCACAAAACATCAAGCCAGGTGATAACGTCTTTACAAATTAGATCTAAATGAAACCTGTGGGTTTACCTGAGGCTGGTAGCACCACCACAGGGGGGCTCCAGGGCCCACAGCCCACCGTGGTGCAGGCCGAAACCTGGATCGAGGCATTAAAGAAACGGCCTCCTCCTGAGAGCTGAGCAGAGTTCTCCTTAAACAAAAGTGGCTCCTGGAAAGAGTAGAGAGCAACATGGCATCATGTTTCTTGATTAACATAGCTGCTCAAATCCTCAAGATGGTGTCAACAATATCCATAGGTTGAAATCAGTAAAGTGTCTAAAGCTGTCAAATGCACACAAAACATTAAATTTGGAAAGATTGTCTGTCAGATTTCACCTGAGCTTCACCTCCCAGAGTCCACTGGAGCTTGTAGGCTAACAGCCTCCCCTGGAGCTCATCCTCTGGGAGCTTCGCCCAATGCAGAGACAGCTGCTGTTCGGAGAGCTCAAAGGTCAGGTTCCTAGGAGCTGAAGAGGGCACTGCAGGCACAAAACACAATCAGTGTTAGCCGCACACAAAAGCCTCTATTCTCTCTGTTTCTGGGGTACTTTTGGACTTACTTGAGTCCACCTAGAGTTCGCCTTTTTGCTATAACATTTTAGGCTGATTAAATAGGAAAGTTAGGCTGTCCACTAACCGTGGGTCAGAACTTGCTGAACAAACACAGCACGTTATGAATAAACACCGAATAAACAGTGTGTGTTTAATGTTAAGGTGCCTTCAGCTGGTCTGAGGTCAGTGATCCTGCAGTTGGCGCTGCAGACACCACTGCCAGTCCTTTCAAATGTATTGAGGCCACAAACAAAAGCTGATTGTACGGAGAGGACTGGAATTCACTGGATCAGATCCAACTGGACTAGCATACACACACAGCCTCAAAGTTCAGCTGGAAGCAGGAACCCACCAGCAGCCCTGTTTACTGATGAAATGAGTCTAGCACAACCAGACCCCTCAGCTCAGACCTGCACACCTGTTGTTCTATAAACCAGCCACGAGCCTTAGCGCCCCATGATGCCACCGATATCAGGCGGTTACACACAGTCAGCTGCCAACAGAGACAAAAACGATAGATCTGCCTTTGGAACAGTCCATCTAGTCGTGGCCTTGACTCACCTGACTCAGGTGTGACGAAGTGGAACCATGGGGAGAAGGGGGACGCCCCCACCTCATTCGCACAGGAAACTCTCACACTGTAGTTGGAGTGACTCCTCAGGCCGGAGAGCACGCAGAGGTGAGGAGGAACCTGCACTTTCTGCTGGGGCAGGTCCCGCCTGCGTGCCGAGCGCTTCATCGCCTGAGAGGGACAACGAGTTTCAAACGGGTGGCTGAGGAACGACCACAGATTTGCCGCGTGTCAGCGTGTTACCTGAATTATACAGGTAGAGATGTCAGAGTGACCGGTGAAGCCCGGTCTCCATGACAATGTGGCATTGTTCTCCATCATCCTAAGCACCTGTAGGCCCACCGGCGCTGCTGGCAACACTGACACAGGTAGAGAGACAGGCTGCCTATCAAGCACCCCTCCACGACATGTTCCCCATCACAGGTTACTAAACGACCAGAATCGGGACAAAGGCGGCGGACTCACCTTTAATGTGGACTGTGCCCGTCCTGGAGACAGATATACCTCTGGTATTTTTTGCTTCACAGTAAAACTTCACACTGCTGTTAACACCTGCATACACACACACACACACATATTTGTCTATATACCTTTTTAGGCCTTTGTCCAAGCCTTGGAAATAGCTTTTAAATCTGATACTCGAATTGTCAGGCCATGGTCCCCTAAACAACTGAAGCACACAAGTGTCTGTTGGTGTGGACTGTAAAGGCTTGACCCAACTAGGGAGTTGTCATCTTACTTTGTCATTTTGATCCAGCTCCACTGAGAATGACCTTTGGATTAGATCCCGTGTTCACATGAGTCTGAATCATACCTCCAGCTTATGCCGGGTTGTCTCACACAGGGAGTGCCACAACACTGCATTAACTTAACTTCGTTCACTTTATGGAGAGGAGGCTCTGACCAAGTGTCCAACCTCTGATTCAGTGTGGTTCTCAGCTGAGTTGAGGAACAGTGGGTCAGATCTTCACCCTCACTGAGTTACTGAAACAATCATGGGGGATGGCCTATCCAGTCTACTTGTGATATGGGTACTGACCCAAAGAATGAGGTGGTGAATACAAGTGGCTGTAATGATTATTCTTCAGAAGGGGGTGTTGGGCTTAGCCTCAGAGGGAGCTCAGGGCAAAGTTGCTGTTCCTCCACAAAGAAAAGAGTCTGCTGAAGGGTTTGGGCATACTAAAATGGCTCTTGTAAACCCATACTGGTTTCTCATGGTTGATGCTAATGCTGCAAAGCTATGTAGCATCCATTGGATCACTTCAAACCATAGGGACATGCCCAAAGAGCTTTAGCAGTAGACCTCCCTATAAAAAGAACCATATCTATCACCAGCAGCAGGGGCCTCAAAAGGGGGCCTTTTCATTTTTAATGGTTTTAACTTCTACCTAAACATAATTATGATTACTCGAAACTCTGACCTGGGACGTGGAGGTGAGAAGGGGATGGCTGGGGTTCTCCCTCCGGGACTCCTCCGAGCCACCACAGCACCTCCACGGGCTCCGGGGGGCCAACAGCAACACAAGAGAGGTTGAAGGGAGTGTTGGGGAACGTGGAAACATCCCGAGGCTCCTGAATGAAGTGAGGCACCCCTGTGGGAGAGAGCGTGTATGAAGGAGCGGGTAGAAGAAGCGGCTGAGAGGGTCAAATAGATGCATTCAGACCGATAGCAGAGGATCCTCACCTTCCACGGTGATCCAAGCCCTTTCAGAGGAGTAAGTCAGACCATGGAACTCCACCTCACACCAGTACTGACCCGCATCCTGCTGCTGGACTGACTTCACACTGAACACACAGGGCAAACGTCAGAGCGAGGACATGTTCTTGTAAATGCATTTCTAGTCCCATGGCTCCCTAAAAGAATCTGCTGGCAATCGAAGATCCAGACAGTCCATTTAAACTATTTTCAACGTTTTCTTATGAAAAAGGCCACACTTGAGTATCAAAGTCTTTGCCAATAGCATTCCAACACTTGTTGAATGGTTGTCAACAAATGTCAATCCTATCTGCCATATGAAATGAAAGTCACTTAGAGGGGCTATGAGTGTGTGATGTTAGCACTGTGAAAAGATAAAACAGTTTTATGTGCTGTTTGATGATCAGTGTTTGTTAGACATCTGTCTAAATGTTTACTGATCATCTGCAGCTGGGTGTTGTGCTTTTATGTTTGTAAAGCGTGAATGTCTCTGAACCTGTGAGAGGTCTCCCAGTGCTGCTCTCCTAATGTGAGGAACACCTGGTCAGTGCCGTACAGCTTCTCTCCGTCCTTCATCCACGTGATGTCTGGCTCCGTCACGCCCTCCACGGCACAGCCCAGCCTCACCTCATTGCCCTGAGACACCGTCTGGTTCGACGGATGCTTTGTGAACAGCACACCTGCAAAAGCGACAGTCTCACACAGTTTCTTTGATGGTCCAGCCTTTCTGAGGCAGCTGGAATTTAACATGAGAGCTGCAACCTGTTTCAGGGATGCGCAAATGAACTGATCTCATCTCTCGCTGCTGATGTGAGTTATTGTACAGGCAAAAGTGGGCTGTGTTGACTGGTATCTAAGATCTTTTAGCTTATTTTCATCTGTTTTACTATTATTTAAACCTTTTGACCAATTTCGAATTTTAGCCTCCAGAAATGGAACGATTTGGATGCTTGTACTGTCCCTTTTATAGTTACAAACTCTCGGATAAAAAGTTATTGAACCTCTATTCTGTGTCAAAGACAAAAAAGTCATCTTAAAGGAAAATGTGAACATACAGTTAAGCTTTTCTCATCTAAATACCATCCAAACAAGAACAGAGGCTAAACTGACTAATTCAAAAGGAACTAAATAGTTACAAAAAACTACTCCAGATCACAACGCTGATCATCCTTGAAAAGGGCACAACACTCAGGAGCTCTGCTTAAATCTATTTTTTAGTAAAACCTTTTTTCATGTTAACTGCATTACTATTAAAAATATTCATATGCAGAAAAAACATTTTAAATACAGGACCCAAATTAAGAAAGTCCTATTAGGAATTGTGAAGAGATGGTATTAATATGGTTTCTGAATGCGTTAGGATTTGGGGGGTTTGGTTATAATGGGGCTTGTTTTCTTCGTTGTGTCTTGGTGCAATTGTGTTGCTCTTAGCTTCCTGGGTTTTATTTTGGGGTTATTTCTCAATTCCCCTTGTGCCAACAGGTGTTCCCCTTGTGTCTGTCGGTTTTCTTCACTTCCCTCAGTTCACCTCTACTCTGGTTATCTACTCAGCTCACTTCACTTGGGTTCCCTGGGTCAACCACTTTTCTTCCACTAATCACTCTTCCATCTATACCTATAGATATATATGTCAGTCTTTGACAGATTCTTACCATGCTCCCAGCATACATTACTCTGCCCTGTCCTTCCTCCTACATTGGCTTTCCTTTTTTCGTGTACCCCTGGTTTCAGGTTCAATTAGTTTTGTTATCTGGCTAAGCCGTTCTTTTGTTTTCGTTTTATTTTCTTTAGTTATTTGGTTCCTTTCCTGGTCCTGCACGTGGGTCAATCCCCTCACCATCTTCAGCACACTGTAACAGGATGAATTATTTTGGAAAAAACACCAGTGTTGCCTCTGGGCTACTCATGTTGTTTCTAACAGTCTGATTCACTTGACATCTGCAAACACAGGGTTCCTAAAAACCAAAGTGACAAATTGATGTACCCCTTTACTGCATCTCCTCACACTAACAGGAACGAATTTCAACTGCCCCCTCTAATCCCAGTGCAAGAAGTGATGGAGAATGGAGTCCAAGTCTGTAAATGCTTCAGAAAGGTAAAGAATAAGTAACACAACAGGTCGTAATAAGTTCAGATTTCATCATGGTTCCAGATAACTGAACCCTAATATGGATTGTTTCTAAACGTTTCCTCTTATTAAGCATCAGACAGACCAGAATTAACCCAGTTGGAGTTAATCTTTACTCTGACCAATCAATCCCAGAGACTGGCTGTACCTGGCTAACCTGGCACAGGAATCATAAATATCCTCCATGGGGCAGGGATGCCTTACACAATGAAAAGACCAAAGGCACAGGCATTCCTGGCACTCAGCAGTTAGCATATAGCAAATGTATAACATGGATGATGAATTAGTTTGTGTTCAGTCTTCTGCTCACTGCAGTCAACTCAGTGAAGCAGGTAGGTGACCAGCTACCATCAGCTACAGCCTGAAACTGTCCCAACCAACATGGTTATGATGATTAAAGGCCGTTTCAGACATGAGAAGAAGGTTTGATAAGCTGTGGCCTTCTTACACTAGTTACTTCTCCATGAATGTTCCTCCCCCTTGTGAGGAACATGGGTGAGGACATAGCTATACCCATGTATTTGATTATGCCAAAGAAGGCAATTGTATCACCTACAGAGATGATGAGCCATTTGTGCTGTAGGATTAGACAGTTTTCCTTATGTCATATGTCCATGAAAGCATCTGTGTGCGACACCCTCAGAGCTGAATCCTGTCCAGCAGTCAGTGTGAGGGTTTCACTGTGCAAGTCTAGTTGTTATTATCTGAGGGAAGGCATGAGCATGCACTTCCCTAAAAAACAGCATGTCTGCCCCCTTATCATTCGAATTCTTATCAGGCCAACTTCCAGCACCGTCTTAAACCCAAAAGAGCTGACAGAGAGACCCAGGCTGAAACTTTGTTGTGTTTTTTCATGTATTTCTTTAACATGCCGACTCTGAACATCTCACCATTACAACTCACAGCTGCTAAGGGTCTGTTAATGTACTGCAATGTGCAGATTGTTACAAGGCCACACTAAACATTCCAACACCAACAAGCTCATTCACTCTGTTACAGATGTGTCCAGGGCAACCAGAAGCTTTGGAAATACTCCAGAGCTGGGGTGCTCAATGGGTCGATCGCAGTATTGGTAGATCACGTGACATTAAAAAATAGGTTTGACTCAAGTCTATTATCCATCCCGTCACTGACAAGCTCATCCAAAATAAGTGGGGTTGTGGGGCCAAGTAAGAAGTAAAAAACGTATCACTTTCACCCGGAATGGGAGTTTGACTTTATTTTTTTACAATGTCATTTTCAAAGTGCCTTTGCCTCATCTGCCAAGACTACAATTGCACAGTCCAAAAAGGGAAATGCGGAGAGGCATTTTTGGACTCTTCATGGAAAATTATATACCGAGTTCCCGCCAAAAAGCGAGCTAAGAAAGAGCTAAATAATTTCCCTCAGGGATTATTAAAGTATTTTCATTGGTATGGTATTTAGTGATCTCACTGCAAAAGAGGATCTATCAAAATTACTTCCCATTAAAGAAAACATGCAAGAACGCATTTCAGACATAAAAAAAAAATTCCTTGAGAAAACTCAGCTCCCAATATGCAAATCGGTATCTATCACTACAGATGGAGCCCCTGCCATATTTTGGCTGCGTGACTGTATTTATTGCCATGTGCAGGCAGGATGATGCTTTCCCAGACTTCTTGAATTAGCATTGCGTAATGCACCAACAAGCGTTATGCGCTAAAATGCTAAACATGAAAGAGATCATGGATGTGGCAACAAAGATGGCGTGTTCTATTTGAGCAAGATCTCTGGCTATTCCGTGGACATCTCAAGAAGGCTAACCAACCACTCTGAGTTGTTGCTACATACTGATGTCAGATAGCTTAGTTAAAGGAAATTTCTGCAAAGATTCCGAGAGCTTTGTCCGGAGATGAAAGATTTTTTCTGTGCAGCTGGACATGCAGAATACAAGCAACTAAATGAAGGTCAGTGGCTGTTAGACTTTTTTTTAACCGATCTGGCAAACATGTTGAATTACCTCAATTTATAGCTGAAAGGAAAAGACAAAACAGTGATCAATATGATCAGCTCAGTAAATGCTTTCATACAAAACCTGCAACATCTGTCCGCAAAGCTGCAGTCTCATGACATGTCCAATTTCCAGAACATGTCTTCAGGGCTGACGATGCAAGGGAGGGCCTGTGTGCAACTTGACCAGATTGACAATTGTCTGTCAGAGCTTGACATGAATGTCATTCATGTGCTATCCTTTTCGGGAAGATGCTGAGGTTGATTCACTCGCATAAAAAATTGCAACAATGTTTGACCTAAACTCTTCTTGAGTGGCTCGAGCAGCTACACTCCAAACTACGCATCCCTGGCGGATTCACTTCAGTGCAAGTCATCAAACTAAGTTATAAAAAAATAACAGTTAAGTTGTGCAATGTGGTTAAACGTAGTTGCGCAAGACAAAATCATGTCATAGAGGTGAAAGAAAACCAAAGTGTATTGGCTTAACTGTGCTCATGAGAACAGGTGCCCTCAGTCCAATCAGATTTTCCTCTGGACAAAACAGTATGAGGGCAGAAAGCAGAAAACATTGTAGAGAAAGACATACTATCTGAAGAGGCTGAATATCTTATTTCTGTTTCATGACATTCTTTTCCCGTTCCTCTTATTGTACAGCAAGTGTTACGTTCATATCTGACATCTGTCATGGCCTTACTTAGAAAATCAGGATTACAATTAATCTAATCTTTTTCAAAACGTTTAATGAAACAATCCAAAAGAAACCCTCTGCAGCAGTAAAGAGATGAACAAAGACAGTTTAATTCCCCTGTTTTTACGTCTATTCCAGAGTTTCAACACAGATGAAACTAGTTCTTGGAAGAAAGATAGAGTGTTACTCCATTTAAAAGCATAATTAATAACTTTATTAACTTACAGAACAAGTGAGCCCTACTTTGCAAGCACAGTGATGTCTTCAGGAAAAATGTGTTTTTAGTTGTGAAGGCAGGTTAACCCTTTTCAGCTTCCAGCGTTAGATCAAAGATAAGCTTAGATTTTTTCCTTAACAGCAGAGGGACGAATTTGTCCTATCACAACTTTTTAATGAACAATAAGCAGAGGGACACTGGCTTTTCGAGGGGCCTGAAGCTAGACGCAGGGGCTGTTCCAGGTCTCGTCTTCTCTTCCAGGAAGAGAAGTCTGAACTGCAAACAGTGACGGTAACTGCTTCAAAGGTCTGTGTTGTGTTGGCATTAGGGTGTGAACAGATTTTAGTACAAAAACATGTAGGTTACACAGAGGGAGAGGGCAGCTAAGGGGGTTAATCGGGCTTTGTGTTAACATTTTCGGCCATGAACGTCACAGACAGGAGAGGTCATTCTCCAACAGACAGATTCAGCTCTACTGTGTCAATGATCAATCAGGAAAAGCATTACTACCATTTGCCTTCACCCTGTAAACCAGCTCACACCTGCACTCCACATCTTTATATATTGCCGAGAAAGTGTAGAGAACTTTTACCTGCACAGCCAACAATAACCACCCATGCTGATTACATCTTTATGCAACATACTAATCTTTGGACTCTCTGTAATGTCATTTTAATTGTTCTTGCTACTGGGCAGGTTGAGCAATACACATATAAAAGTGATTGCAAGCCATGTTTACCCAAGACAAAAGGAATTCAACCAATCAGAGCACACTTTAGGTCATTACCATCTCAAGAGGAGACATTCTCAAATAAAATTGTCCCTGTTACTGTTGTTACGTGAACATTATATTACTGTTACCGGAAAGTTTTCTCTATGTGTTTTGATCATTTACTCAAAGCAGAATCGCTTTAGTAAGCTAGCTCAGGTAAGGTTTGCATGTCCATGTACTGTATATTGTGAAAACATCTATCAGCTCATGGCTACAAAAGTAAGCAGGAAAATGGAAGACAGAATACAGGACAGCTATTCTCTATTAGCAAACAGTGCAGAACAAACAAAATAATGCGGCCAGTGGTGATCAGTATAGTTCTGACAAACAAGAGGAAATGGCTGCTTGGACCAGCTGCCTTCTTATATCTTAAGATGCATTATCATGAGATCCTCCTCCATCACCATGTTTGCTTTTGTCAGAAACTGATGTCAGATCTTAGAAATAAACTCTGACCCCTGCACTGCCCCTCTGGAGGAAGTGGTGCCTAACAAACAAGCACACATAGGACCATGAGGGCAGGGATGCTTGACACCGTTTGAAATGGATATTCCTATTTACAAACGAGCCCTTAGACTTAGGCAAAAATGGGAAACATAAAAGGAGATGGCATAGTAGACGGCAAGGGTCCGGGTGGACTTTATATACATTATACACTACCCCCATAATTTCCAGTGGCACCACTTTCCAAATGCCCCTGATTTTAGCGGTGAGCATAAATCAGCTTTAAGCCTGAAAATAGTTTCCGTTACACCTCCTGTTAGTGGTGGTCTCCGTTCCCAGCCTCTCATTCCTGGCTATGTGGTGTGCTTGTTTTCAGAGGGTTGCAAAAGTGACACAAATAGCTCTAGACATATTATAAAAGGGAGGCTACACTTAGATTAACGTTAATTAAGGTTTTAAATTCTTTACAATGTGTTCACTAATGTAAATCTACTATTTGAAGGGGTTGAGGGGGACACAGAGGACTTCAGCCCCTGGTTCCTTTAAAGTCTGGGGCCGCCCCTGTCCCACAGCCTCCAGCACTTGTTTTCGTGTTCTAGCTGATGTGGAAAACCAGTTTGGAGTCACGCTGAACTTTTCAAACAACAACTTTGGCTTGGTTGGATACCATATTCCATTTAAATTTGATATTGCTCACCCACTCGCTCAGTAAAAGTCACAGATTAAAATAAGTCAGATTCCATGTCGGAGAACTTAGCTGTGGGAACCGCTAAGCTGTCTCCAAGGCGACCCCCCCCCCCCCCCTGCCGGGGTCACGTGCCACCGCTGGCCGAAGCCCCTCTCCGGCCAACTCGGCGCCCCTCTCCGGGAGGCTCACCGCCGGGGTTAGCAGCCTCCGCTAGCCGCCACTCACCGCTCCCGGAGCTCCGCGCCGCACTTCGGAGGAGGAACAACACGACGACCCACTCGGGCAGCTTCATCTTCTCACATTCCCTCCGTCTTCTTTCGAACCGACACTTTAAACGACGGAGTCATGTCGTTTTCAGTGAAGTTTAAGCTTCGTTTCCCCCGGTAAACAACCCGAACTACCGGAGAGAGTCCGTGAGGGGGGGACTAACTGAGGAGCAGAGGGGGGGTGGGGAGGCGGGCAGCGAGGGGGAAGGAGGAGGACTCTGGAAAGGAGGACTGAGGGGAGTGAGGAGGAGGAGGAGTAAATAAACTCACAAGCCCCAAGCGACAGAGCTGGGGCCCCGCGGGAAAAAAGAGCGAACGTTTCCTGGGTTCCAAGAGGAGAGCCTCAACTATTCGAACCGAACTGTAGGAATGTGAAGCTAACCGTCGGAGCTCCCGATAGCGGGACTCGTTCCGAAACCCCCGGCCCTGCTCCCCGGTAGCCGTGGGCACAGCCAAGCTGCTCTAAGGCGGGTTTTTAGCTGGTACTTCCAGTTATTTGTGAGCACATTTCTCCGTCGGTTAGGGGCGGTGGGAGCCAGCAGGGCAAGCCGGGCGCAGAGCCTCTTTTCCGGCTGAGGCCCCCACCCCTGCGACGGCGAATGTCCACAAAAAGTGTTTGATGATTACTTTTGAAAACGGGAAATTTGCGTGACATAAATATTATCTAAGATAAGCTATCAATTAAATTAACTCAATGTAACCCAGTTGACAAAAACATATTGAAAAGTAAAATAAATAGTTG